ATATCTAATATACAGTGCTCAGTATAAATGAGTACCAGCTAAATTACCCTCCAGCCCAAAACCGGTAATTCACTAAAGCTAAGTAGGGTTGCGCCTGGTCATTACCTGGATGGGAGACCACATGGGAAAACTAGGTTGCTGTTGGAAGTGGTGTTAGTGAGGCCAGAAGCGGACGCTCAACCTGCGGTCTGTGTGAGTACTAATGCCCTAGTATAGTGAAGGGGACACTATACTGTCAGTGAGTGCGGTCTTTCAGATGCGACGTTAAACTGAGGCCCTGACTCTCTGTGGTCATTTAATATGGCAGTACTCGTAGAAGAGTAGGGGTGTAACCCTGATGTGCTGGCCAAATTCCCACTATCAGCCCTTACTGATCATGCTCTCCCAATCATCCCCATCCACCCAATTGGCACTATCACTGTCTCTCCACTCCATCAATAGCTGGTGTGTTGTCAATGCACTGGCAGTGTTGCCAACTGGATGCTGCACACTGATGGTGGTGTGGAGAGACCCTCCTCATTGTGAAGTGCTTTGGGTTTATGACCATACACAATAAATGCACTATTTAAATACACATTACACTGCATTTTGAAAATGAATATCAATTTCTCTTAGTCCCTTTATTAATCTAGGGTTGTTACAGCGGGATGAACTGCCAACTTATCTAGCATATGTTTTATGCAGCGGATGCCCTTCCAGCTGCAACCCTTCACTGGGAAGCCTCCATACACAATCATACACTACAGACAATTTAGCCTACCCAATTCACCTGTACCACATCTTTGGACTTGTAGGGGAAACCGAAGCACCCGGAGGAAACCCAAGCGATCACGGGGAGAACATGCAAACCCCACACAGAAATGGCAACTGACCCAGGCGAGGCTCGAACCAGCAAGCTTCTTGCTGTGAGGAGAACGTGCTACCCACTGCGCCACTGTGCAGCCCTTAAATGAATATATTTAATAAAATAATATTTCAGTCATCTAACATCTTTAGAAACAGAAAGAAAATACATTTAAATCAAATTACAAACTACAAAGTTTTTAACTAAACTTTTTTACATTTTTGGTTTCTCCTGATTTTTCCCTAACATAAATTTGGTTGTACTCATTTTTGACCATTATGGTAGATTATTTTGTTAGATTAGCTCCATATTTGGATTTGGATAATGTATGTGCATAAATATAATATTGTAAAGCATCCTATAGAAAATAAAAAATCAAAAGATACATTTTTGAGGAGTGTACTCATATATGCTAGTGTATATATATGCCTATATGCTAGTGTAGGTAGTTCTTTCTCATATCTGGCATCTAAACTCAGGAACAGCCTTTCTAGCACAGTTCGGGAGGCAGACACACTCTGTCAGTTTAAAACTAGATTAAAGACACATCTCTTTGCATTTGCATACACATAAAACACAAATTCTGTTGAAATAAAATCCTCTAAAGCAGGGGTGCTCAATCCTGTTCCTGGAGATCTACCTTCCTGTACAGTTTAGCTCCTAACCCTGATCAAACCCACCTGAACCAATTAATTAGGACCTGAAATCCACTTGATAATTACAGACAGGTGTGTTTGATAAGGGTTGCAACTGAAATCTGCAGGAAGGTAGATCTCCAGGAACAGGATTGGCCACCCCTGCTCTAAAGGATTGTTAGTCTGCATTAATTTGGGCACCCTAGCCGGGAATACTTAAAGACATTGTAATTTGAACGGAAACTGCGCTTATGTTAGTCTTTTTTCATTATTCCTGAGGTTTCCATAATCCTGGACCAGGCCGTATCCTGAGCAGCTGCTGTGGTGGTCATGGGGAAGTAGAGAGCATGACACTGATCCTTGTAAGGCCGCAGCGACAGACGAGTCCGCACATTGATTCTGACAGGACAGCCTGTACACCAGCCGGTAACCTCTATGTCTAGCGTTCTCCAGTCTCCGGCGCCTAGACTGCGGCTCTGCACAAGACGTTTGGCCGTAGGAGAAATGGTTGTGCCCAACTGAGCCTGGCTTATCTCAAGGTTTTTTAATTCTTCACTTTCGCCAATTGGTGAAGTTTTTTCCTCGTCGCTGTTGCCAGTGGCTTGCATGGTTTGGGATAGAGATCTGCGCGGGACTAAATTTTGAATCCCGCTCCCGCCCGCACCCACCAGGTTTTAGCCCGAACCCGACCGCTCCCGCTTACATTGAGCATTTGTTGTCCCGCTGCCCGACCCGCCCCGTTTTCTACCCGCTGCGCCCGATCCCGCTAAAGAGGGGGGGGGGAGAACAAAACCGAAAACCACCCAGCTATACGGAGTCCAGACAGCCTATAACAAGCTGTCTGTTTAAACACACACACACATAAGCACCAAGCACACACACACAGACAAAGCTCTCTCTCTCTCTCTCATTCGCGCGCGCACACACACACACACACACCTCATTTGCGCGTGCGCACACACATACACACACAGCAACAAACAAGCTAAAAACAACATTGCGCTATTTCATTTACACACATACATACGCGTGCCCGCTCGGGAGTCGGGAGCAATATTGCTAGATGGCCCGCTCCCGTCCCAAATTAAACCTGTTACCGACCGCTCCCTCGCTTTATCCGGAAATGTATTCTCGCGCCGCAGAAATCTGGTCGGGTCCCGCGGCTTGTTGAGCAGCTGTTTGAACCAGTTTGAACTCTCAGCAGTGAATATTAAACCACACTGAACTGAACTAAATTGAACTTCAACACTGAAAACTGAACGGACACTGTTTCAATTTACTATAATCTTCTATGTGAAGCTGCTTTGACACAATCTACATTGTAAAAGTGCTATAGAAATAAAGATCAATATAACTGAATATGCTGAGAATAATTTCAGAAATTAGCAGCTCAGAAATGTAAATTACATGTGAAATTTAACTTTTGTATGTCAAGCATGTGCTCCACCATCACCATTGTTTTCTTTGTAAACAAGTCACCCCAGAAAACCCTTAAAGCTCATTGCTGAATTATGTCAAAATACATATTTTGCCAAACTAATCAACATGTTTGAGTGTAGTACACAGCAGAGCTCTTTCAATATACACCTGTCATGATCTTATCACCTGCAGGCTGGTTGACAGCAACAGTTACAATAAAGGACAACTCCCTCCGACACTTTCCTTGCAAAATTATGACTACTGTGGGTCCAATCTAAATGGGCGTCAACACTCTGTCTCCTCTGGGAATTACTGAGTCCATTCTTTCAGTGAGACACACCCTACACCCTGCAGGTACTTCACTTATGCTCAAACGCTGAAATTGTTGTCATATTAGCATGTGCGTGCAACTACACACACACCAAAGCCTGGCTTGCACTAAAGCTTGTTCTCCCGGCTCATCTCACAAGTTTAAAAAAAAAAAACAGAGAGAAAGTGTGTGCATAATAGTGATGGGAAGTTCGGATCATTTTACTGACTCGGATCTTTGAGTCTCGTTCATTAAGATGAACGAATCTTTTTTCGAGTCATTTCGTTCATATGGTTCAATTTGCCAAAATATTATTAAAATGTTACGAATTGCTTCCAAACACATCTACAACTAGCCCAAAAGGTTGATCACACATCAAATAAGTCATAAGTAGAATATAAGAAGGAGAAAATAATAATTCAATGTTGACCTGCTCTTTTGTCTTTGGGCATTTTTGCCTCTTTGCTCAGCTCACCTCTTCATATGTCAGGGGTTTATTCACGTTACACTGACAGTCACATATAATCTTAACCAATGCACAGCCGATAAGAGCCATAATCGTTCGTTCATCACGTGACAGAATGACTCAAACCCGAGGACTAGAGAGATGAACGGTTCAATTCTTTTTCCGGCTCTAAACGCATATGATTGGCTCGTGATGAACGAGTGACTCAGACCCAATAGAGGACTCGAGAGGTGAGCGAATCAATTCTTTTTCCGGCTCTAAACGGGTATGATTGGCTTCTGTGATGAAGACTTGAAATTAACGATACTACCTGCACAAATGTGCGCACGCGCGGATGAACAAATCACTCCCTGAGAGGACTCGTAGTTCCCGAGTCATATCGAAGATTCGTTCAAAATGAACGAATCGTTCGTGAACTACCCATTACTAGTGCATAACACTGCATATTGATTGTGTGTTACATGGAATGAGGTTAAGAAAACAGGACAAGGGTGACTTTAGATGTGTGTCTGTGTATGTTTATGTGTAAGCCATATGAATGTATTTAAAAAGTATTGAGCAATTCCAACGTTTTATACAGTTAAAGTCAGAATTATTAGTTTAGTTATTAGTTTATTTTTTACCCAATTTCTGTTTAACAGAGAGATTTTTGCAACACATTTCTAAACATAATAGTTTTAATAACTCATTTCTAATAACTGATTTATTTAATCTTTGCCATGATGACAGTACATAATATTTGACTAGATATTTTTCAAGACACTTCTATACAATTTAAAGTGACATTTAAAGGCTTAACTAGGTTAATTAGGCTAACTAGGCAGGTTAGGGTATTTAGGCAAGTTATTGTATAATGATGGTTTGTACTTTAGACTATCAAAAAATATAACTTAAAGGAGCTAATGATTTTGACCTTAAAATGGTTTTTAAAAAATTAAAAACACCAGAAAATATATTGCAAAAACCAAAATTGGAATATGTATTTAAAAAATAAAAAATAAATAAAAAATCACTTTCTTTTTTGTATGCGTTTTCCATACTGTCCCTATTTCTTTTGATATGAGGTTGTACTTTTTGCATTTAAAAGCTGCGTTACGCATGTGACATCTATCAGTTATGCATCTGACAGATGTGAAATCGGTACTTGTGTGACTTTGGTAAAGCAAATGAAATTGTTTTAAAAACAATGCCAGACATTTTTGAGTAAAAAAGCCTACACAAACAACTTTTTTTTTTCATGGCAAGCTTGACATTCGCTTGGAATTGCTCATTAGATGCTACTAGACATGTGCTTGTTAGAGTGGAGGGTAGATGTTATTTTGTTACCTCGGATGGTTCAGGACTCTTGACTGGACTGGATAACTGGCTGAAGACTGTTGTTTGTCCATTTATGTTCTGAATATTAAAAACAAAAACAAAAAATCATAAATGAATCAGGCAGAGTTGCATAACATTCTGTCTCACAGGTCTTTCTTCCTTTGAATTGAAATTGAATGGGTTTAGATTTACAGACATATTAAATAAAAAATAAGTCAACAAAAAAACTACACATTAAGACACATAACCTTACAGTTGAAGTCAGAATTATTAGCCCCCTGAATTATCAACCCCCCTGTTTATTTTTTCCCTAATTTCTGTTTAACGGAGAGAAGATTTGTTTAACACATTTCTAAACATAACAGTTTTAATAACTCATTTCTAATAACTGATTTATTTTATCTTCGCCATGATGACAGTAAATAATATTTGACTAGATATTTTTCAACACACTTCTGTACAGCTTAAAGTGACATTTAAAGGCTTAACTGGGTTAATTAGGTTAACTAGGCAGGTTAGGGTAATTAGGCAAGTTATTATATAATGATGGTTTGTTCTGTAGACTATTGAAAAATAAATTAGCTTAAAGGCGCTAATAATTTTGACCTTAAAATGGCTTTTAAATTTTTTTTAAATGCTTTTATTTAAGCCAAAATAAAAAATAAGACTTTCTCCAGAAGAAAAAACATTATCAGACATACTGTGCAATGTGTATTTCTTCAAACTATTTATATTTATAAATATAAATATTTTGTGTAAATATTACTTATGTTTATACAAAAAAGTAACCAGTGCACAAAAATATAAAGCTACAGATAACCATTTACATTTGGAAGCCAATAATTGATGTATTAAGTCAATGCAAAACAACACAACAAACGACAACAGATTTTGTTTAAAATATTGACTGCAGAAAACAAGGAAACATCTAAATATTTTTTTTTCGCAAAATCAAGTTCTCTTTTTTTCATGGGGAAAAACACTGCCAATACAATGTTGTCTTTCCTCTACCAAAGCTCTTTTAAACTGTGCGTCTGCTGCACACAACATGTCCTGTCATGAAGTTCACCAACTAGCGGATATAATCCATAATTGACTGAACATTTATTCTGTGATCAGGCCAATAAGTTCAAGCTGTCAGTCCAATTTTAGTTTCATTGTATAGTTGACTTTTGTTTGAATCTACACCAGCCTGTGTGGTTTTATTGTGCTTTTATTCTGTAATTGGAATTTTAAGTTGAAAGACAGTTCTGAGCGTTTAAAGGCAACTGCAAGAGATAACAAACATCTTCATTTGGACTTTATTTGGATAGCACAGCCCATCTTCCCATTGTCATGTCCCACCAGCTTCTTCTCTTCATTTCAACAATTGAACATTTGAATGTTCAAGAACTGACTTGCATTGACCTGTTTAACAGGTTTGCTACTAATTTATTATGTAAGATTTAATAAAGTGGGCTTTACAGGGTGATCACATTTCTGTTTGTTTACTTCAGTGTTTCTACACATACTTGATTTAAAATGATCAGAAGCAGAATGAGCTTTACATGCGCAAACACCCAAGAAATTTCTTTGGTTTACAAGAGCTCAGGGTATATTCTGTACATACATATCAACACAAGAGGACTACATGTGGGTCAACATGTGAAGTGGATCAAATCCTTTAATCAAAGTTAACTATTAAACAAGTTAATCAGTACAAAAGGAGGGAATTAACAACAGCACAATCAGAGTCAGAATATCTGCTGAGGTTTTTACTCACTCATAGTGCTTTAAACATTAAATGCTTGCATCTTAAAAACAGTTCCTTTGACTGAATTAGAAATAATAAGATGTGAAAAATGTTTTAATTTTATAAAATGTATAATTTAGAAAAATATAGTTTAATTTAATACCATTAAATAAAAAATTTTATTTTGTTTCCCCCACAGTCCAAAGACATGCGGTACAGGTGAATTGGGTAAGCTAAATTGTCCATAGTGTGTGAGAGTGTATGGAGGGTTGTCCATAGTGTATGGAGGTTAAACAGAGATGGGTTGCAGCAGGAAGGGCATCCGCTGCATAAAAGATGTGCTGGGTAAGTTAGCGGTTCATTCGGCTGTGGGGACCCCTGAATAATAAAGGGACTAAGCCGAAAAGAAAATGAATGAATGAATGAATGAATGAATGAATGAAATAAACGATAAAAAAAATCTGTTAATTAACAGTTCCTGTGGTTTGTGATTCACACGTGTTTCCCATTTATTTATGGTTGTGAATTGCATTATAGGACGTCAATCTCTGCTCTGTTGACTTTTAATGTTGAAAATTCAACATCAATTAACAAAATTGACTTTTGCTGAAATTTCAGTAGTTTGAAATGAAATAATGCATATTATATTGAGAAATTTGTATGTAAAATAACTCAAAATGCGCTGGAAGTTTATTACAAAGTTTTTGTAGTATAATATACAACACCAACTCAGACAATAAATCACTTTAAAATATTCAAAATCCTAATAAAAGTCACTTTTCAACTTGTCAAAAATAATTTGTTATTTTTGTTTAAATTTGTTTCACATAATAATTAGTTTAACTTGTTAAAAATAATCAAGGTGCCATAATGCATTTCAAAAGCATAAATGCAGAAAATAAATGAAAACATGAATCACAAAATACGGAAATTTGCTAATTTATGGATATTGTTTACAGTGATAGCTAATAAAACAGAACGCTTCAAGAGAAAATGTTATATCATAAGAAAGATCTATCGCAATACTCAACAACATCGCATATTTTTCACTATCGTCCAGCCCTAGATTTAACTGTATGAATAAAAAATAAAAGTATGAACTTCCAAAATAAGTGGCTTTTTAGGTTATAGAAAGCATAAACACAATAATAGAACTGTATTTTTATGGCAATAAAAACAGGTAGCAACTGAGGTGCTAGATTTTCAAGTTGGATGGCCTGAGGGGAAAAAACTGTTTTCATGCCTAGATGTTTTAGTGCATAGAGATCTGCAGCGTCTGCCTGAGGCATAAAGTGTGAACAGTTTGTGGCCCGTTTCCTCAATCTGAACACCTTCCTGATTATTACTTGTAATGACGCAGTTCCAAACACCAAAAGTGCACAAAATTTCTTATGTATGCTCTGATTTACTTTTTATTTTCTGCCCTAAACTGATTTATAACTGTTTAATGTAATCGTCTATTAAAAAATATCAATATCAATATATATTTACTACTATAAAAATCTAATTTTTCTTTTAGCCAATAATGACAGAAAGACAGTGTGAATATATTGATTCAAAGCCGACTTAAAAACATTGACAATTTTTTACATTTTGCTGTAAACTATAATGGAGTTTAAAGGATTTACATCAAAATCAGTAACATCGTTTTGGGTGTTGACTACAATGAAAAACTCTGCCACATAAAGCAATGTGTTTATTTGTGTGGTAAGCACTTCCAATATACACCTGTCACCTTACCACTGCAGGCTGATTGACAGCAACTGTTACGATACAGGGCAACTCCCTCCAAACACTTTCCTTGCATTATTATGACTACTATTGGCCTACAATAACATTTAAAAAACAGAACCTATTAGACTGGTATTTTCTGGAGGTTGAGTCCAAATTTAACACACATTTTAAGGACGCAAAACAAAAACTCAACAACAACATCGCAAATGTCACACTCTTTTTCGTAGATATTTTTTAAAATTTTAAATTTTGATATGATTTTTATTAAGTCACTGTCACTTTGCAAAGCTACTAATAAACATAATATATCATAATATAATTAATATAATATAATATAATATAATATAATATAATATAATATAATATAATATAATATAATATAATATAATATAATACAGAGGGGAAAATTCAAAGGGGAAAGCCAATTTTAATAATAAATAATGATAATTCATTTAATTTAATAATAATTCATGTCTAGAGGTCATGAATTGCTGGAACTATGATGATTGACACCTTGTTTACCATAGCAACATTATGTTGTCATGCACATTTAGCATTTTGTTTATTTCTATTCAGTAAAAGCAAGCAAAAACTTATTACGTTTGGCAAGTTAAGCAAAAGCACAGTTTACATGGTAAACGTTTACATTTGAAATGTTGCCACGTCCACTTACTTTAAGCAATATTTATTAAACATAAAGATGCTTAATAAATATTGCTTAAAATAGGTAATCATGTCCACCTTTTTTTAAGCGATATTTATTTAGCATCTTTAGGTTTAAACAAATCTGTTAATGGAGTAAAAACTAAAAAGTATGTTGTGATGCTTTGGCAAAACAAAGAGTTTGGATTTACTTGCTGCTTTGTTCTTATTTGCTGTTTTTTAAAGGAAGGTTTGGCAACACCAAGTCAAGGGGACACACCTCATTCCCTGTGAATTCCTGCACCACGCATACAGTAGAGCTAGTAAACTCTGATACACATTTAAATATGCCATATATGTCATCGGCAGACTTAGAATTAAGAAATAGAACTTTTGAATATGTAATTACATTACTTAATTGTTGGTTGTCATCATGCGAAAGACTGAAATGTGTGTGAACAGTGTTAATTAGCGCTAAAAGGTAAACTGACAACCAAGCTTAGCTGCAGTGTGTGTGTGTGTGTGTTTGTGTGTGTGTATCATAGTCGCCTGACTTTCATTTATTATAGATATGATGTAAACACCCAAACGAATGACAAAACAATGAAGTTTTTCAGAAAATCTGTTCCGACAGGCCTAAAATATTAATTATTAATATCACAGACTTCCAACAGTGATTCATTCAGGGTGCAGCAGTGGAAGATGGTTTTATAGTGTACTCAATATTTAAATCTTGTTGATGTTTTTACACAAAAAGAAGGTTTAGGCTTTAAAATAAAATACAAATTGTTAATACTCTAAAAATATATTATATAAGATATAAAATATGATTTAAATCCACACTCGCAACTGAGCAGATAATAGATTGTGTAAGGGCTGATTAATGTCAGATGTAGCACATACATGCTTGATATCAAAAATTTGCTTTGCCAATTGTGCTAAAAATAAAAGCTGTAATTAGATAAAGATAAAGGCAAGAACAAATGAATCATTCATCTGAATTATTTAGTAGCTGCATGCATCCAATAGTCATACCTGACGCTTTAAATATTACAGTGTGAAGATGTGGCGCACTAGTTAATCTGTACCTTGAGACTAAATCCCATAAAGATTGATAAGGTGCATTCATGTCAATTTCAATGTATAATCTGCTAAAGGAACCAAAATACACTGCTCAAAAAAACAAGGGAACACTTGGAGTTATTGTGCTGTTTAAGTGTTCCCTTTATTTTTGAGCAGTATATTTTCAACAACTGCTGATATTTAAAGGGACAGATCATGCAAAAAATGAAACATTACTAACTATTTACTCACATTCAAGTGGTTAAAAACCTTTATGAGTTTCTGTATTCTGTTGAACACAAAAGAAGATAATTTGAAGAATGTTCAAACCAGCAAAAATTGACTTTCATAGTAGGAAAAACAAATATGGAAGTCGGTGGTTACAGGTTTACAACTTTCTTCAAAATAACCTATTTAGTGTTCAGAAGAAGAAGAAAAAACATACATGTTTGTGACAAGTAAAGGGTGAGTAAATGATGACAGAATTGAACTATCCCTTTATCTCCAACACATCTTAAATGAAACGTCAGGATCAGCAGCATCTTATTTTAGACATTTTCTTAATTTTTTGTCTATTATAATTAGTTGCATAACACTTAGCCTACTGCTACACTTTAAAATATATACAAAAATTCATGCCTACAAATGTTTTCTGTCAACTAAGTTAATGCCAGGTTTATTTTAATATTTTTAGCCAGTTTTATTGATATAGGGGCCTAAGTTAAGTTGAAATGACTAGAAAGTTAATTTGATTCAACAAAATAAGCTGCAAGAATGTATGTATTTGTGTTAGAATAACGTGAAGGAATTAAGTTAACAATACTTTCTATAAATTTAAGTGAATTGAGCATAAATTAATTAGGTTGTATCAAAAAAACACCTGAAGAATTGTGTTATTTCAGTTCATTTTAAATAAGTAGTTTGAACAAACAGCACACGTCATTTTTTAAATGCAATAATGAGATATATTAACACTCATTCATTTGGATAACGATGTACAGCAATAGGAAAATATCAAAAACTCACCACCTGTCTGACGTCGGTCTCGTCGACGCTGCTGAGGCTCACCGGCTGAACGTTCTGTAAGTAAACCGGCTGTACGACGCGCGGCGCCTGACGCACGTACACGTAGGACTCGGCGGGCTGCTGCTGGACGGGCACCAGGTACCGAGCGCCCCCGTACATAAAGTTGCCCTCCACCTGACTGTTCATGTACTGGACTGGCTGATACTGAGCTCCCGAGAGATTCACCGTCCGGTAAGTCGTCGAACCTTCGCTTAACCCGACGGGAGACGTCAGGACGGTCTGCTTGCTCGGCTCCGCGACGGTCACGGTCCTCAGGGTGGTCACGCTATGGCCGTACGGAAGAGTCATTTCTGCGAGATGTATGAAGTTTAAACGAGAAATAACATTCAGTTGTTGTTGTGAAGTTCGCGAAGCCCCGGTGCGCCGCTGCCCGACTACTCCTGACGTCTCTCCGGTAAAGTTGTATAAATGAGGAGAGGCGTGTTTTCTCAATCTCTCCTCCCTCAGATCAAATTTCTCACAGTGGAGGTGACGAAGAGCTGTTGTTTCTACCCACCTGTCAAAGTTTTCAAACATTACTGAAATAAAATAGAAAGAATTCTTCCAGATTATTGCATAACACATTTTTTACATAATGCATTCAAAACCTGCATACTAGCATTATTTTAATATTTTTAACTAAAACCATAATGCGATCAAGCATACCGTCAACATTTAAAGTGGATCATCACCTTGCTTTCATCAAAGCTGTCCAAAGCTATCATCCATTCTTGTCCTATGACAATTTTGAAAAACATGCAAAAAAACAGAATTAACTTCGAAAGCAGACTTTTAAGATATTTTATTTATTATACTTAGAAATACATTTTATGTATTTTATTAAATTTATTAGAAATAAACTTTTGTTCTTAAATTCTCAACACAAACACAATACTAAGCAATAGTTTAGGTGTTTGTGCTTTTATCCATTTTAGATCAACATAATTTGTGGTTTAATTGACTTATTTTAGGCCTATAAGCTACTATATTTTATTTTTTTAATCAAATTTGTGTTGTTAAAATTAAACTCCATTTATTTGTTTTACCACAATTATGTATATAATCATTCGAATGTTTTAGTTGTTAATTTGTATATTTTATATACAAATTAGCAATTCCAGCATGATGGATGTGATATATTTGCAGTAAAAACTTAAATTCACAGAGGATGTAGCCTTAACATTAACATCGTATTAAACATAACACCTGTTTTGTTAAAAAAATCTGAAGAATATCAATGAATGTAAACATTTTATATTTTAAATGAAAGAAATAAACCTGCATTATGGATACGGCCAAAAAGAAGTGTTTACTGTAACAAACTCGGTAGAAATTCTGTGAATTAAACTGCTCAATGTTAAAGAAATAATACTAATCAGAAGGATGAGTATATAAGCACTCTAAAAAATACATTTTTTCAATTTAAATGTACTAATTTTTGCATTGTGAAGTAAAATTATGGATGTGACAAATCAATGTTTTCAAAGGTCAACATGTCAACATTTTCAAACTATTTTACCAAAGACATTTGAGTGATTTTAAAGTAGTCAAATTTAGGCCAACAAAAACATCAGTTTTTTTTTTTTTTTTTTTTTGTTAAAAACTTAATTTTTATATATTTTTTATACTTTATATTTTCATGGCAATGTTGACAATTTGCATGGAATTCCTCAAATGTGTTTGTGTTATTAAATATTTATTTACTACTTATTTACTACTCTTACAAGCTAGCTGTTATTAAGCCTATTATTAAGAAACCGCAACTAGACACCAACAACTTAGCTAACTATAGGCCTATTTCTAATCTTCCATTTATGTCTAAAATACTAGAAAAAGTTGTTTCCACTCAATTATGCTCTTATCTGCAGACGAACAATATTTTTGAAGTGTTTCAGTCAGGTTTCAGGGCTCACCACAGTACAGAAACCGCCTTAGTGAAAATAACCAACGATTTACTCTTAGCTGCTGACCGAGGGTGCGTCTCGCTATTAGTTTTACTCGATCTTAGTGCGGCATTTGATACCATTGACCACAATATCCTCATAAATCGCTTAAAGTCTACAGGTGTCCAGGGACAGGCTCTACAATGGTTTAAGTCATACTTAACTGACCGCTACCAGTTTGTGAATCTTAATGGACAGCCTTCACAAATCTGCCCAGTAAAGTATGGGGTGCCTCAAGGATCAGTTTTAGGCCCTTTACTGTTTACAATTTACATGCTACCACTGGGAGACATTATTAGAAGACATGGGATCAGCTTTCACTGCTATGCAGATGATACTCAATTATATATTTCCACTAAACCTGACGAGACGTCTGAACTTTCTAAACTAACTGAGTGTATCAAAGACATCAAAGACTGGATGACCAACAATTTTCTTCTCTTAAACTCAGACAAAACAGAATTATTACTTATTGGGCCTAAATCTTGCACACAGCAGATCTCGCAACTCAATTTACAATTAGAGGGATACAAAGTTAGCTATAGCTCTACTATAAAAGATTTGGGTGTCATATTAGACAGCAATCTAACTTTTAAAAACCAAATATCCCATGTCACAAAAACTGCCTTCTTTCATCTGAGAAATATCGCTAAATTACGAAATATGCTATCCATCTCAGATGCAGAAAAGCTAGTCCATGCTTTTATGACTTCGAGACTGGATTACTGTAATGCTCTATTAGCTGGCTGCCCAGCATCCTCTATTAACAAACTTCAATTAGTACAAAATGCAGCAGCCAGAGTTCTGACCAGGTCTAGAAAATATGATCATATAACCCCAATTTTATCCTCCTTACACTGGCTGCCTGTTAAATTTCGTATTGAATTTAAAATATTACTTCTCACCTATAAAGCTCTAAATAATCTAGCTCCTGTTTATCTAACCAACCTTCTGTCTCGCTACGAACCAACTCGTTCCTTAAGATCTCATAATTCAGGGCTTCTGGTAGTACCTAGAATAGCAAAATCAAGTAAAGGAGGTCGAGCCTTCTCTTTCATGGCTCCTACACTCTGGAATAGCCTTCCTGATAACGTCCGAGGCTCAGACACACTCTCCCAGTTCAAAACTAGACTAAAGACCTATCTGTTTAGTAAAGCATACACTCAATGCATCACCTAACGGGTTCCACACTGGCTTCTGCATCTTGCTTATATACACTATGAACAGCAGCTACGCTAATTATTCTCTTTATTCTCTATTTTCACCTGGGGATACTCATCCCGAGGTCCTCAGATTAGGCGGAGTCACTGATTGGATCCAAGACCAGCGACGTGATGATCCCAAGGATTCCATATCCGGGACCAGGCCATATCCTGAGCTGCTGCTGCGCTGATGGTCGTGGGGAGTGGAGAACATGTGTCTGATTCAGCGACGCTCCAGGGACAGACGAGTCTTCATTGAGGCCATCTTCCAGCATAAACCACGGCGAATGAAGTTCTGCACAAGACTTTTGGCCAGCGGAGAAATTAAAATGGTCGTGCCCAACTGAGTCTGGTTCTCTCAAGGTTTTTTTTTCTTCACTCCCATCAGGTGAAGTTTTTTTTCTCTCTCCGCTGTCGCCACTGCCTCGCATGGTTCAGGATTGGTAGAGCTGCGCATCGATGAATTTGCTCTTCAGTGTTTGAACTCTCAGTAATGATTAAATCACACTGAACTGAGCTAAACTGAACTGAACTGAACTGAACTTAAACACTAAAACCTGAACCACACTGTTCCAGTTACTATGACCATTTTTGTGAAGCTGCTTTGACACAATCTACATTGTAAAAGCGCTATACAAATAAAGCTGAATTGAATTGAATTGAATTTTATTTTAGCTTTTTCCTTAAAACATCTTCCATCCCCATAGTTATTGCACCTCCATTGCTAAACCTATAATATAAACATTATAAAACTTCTCAAACTGGAAGGAGGGTCGCAGCTCTGCACAGTAGAGTGCTCCAACCGTAATCAAACACATATGATCCAACAAGTCAAGGTGTTCCAGACTACTAGAGACTATTAAGCAGCTGTGAGTTGGAGGTGGTTGGTGCTGAAGTATGCAGAGCTGCAACCCTCCAGAAATTGAGTTTGAGACCATTGGCTTAAACCCATATGACGTTGCTATTTAATTATTTGAGCATTTGTTAACTTCTGTGCTTCAAAAAGACTAATGACATGAACAACAACCGAGATTCAGTGAACATTGTATTTATTGTCAGGGTGCAGTTATATCAGACAAAGAGAAATAAGTCAAACCAACCACAAAAAAAAAAAACAGGCATTTGTAATACAATTCATTGTCTATTCAAGCAACAGATCATAAATAATGTCCGTGTTTCCCAGAGACACTTAACCAAACAGTGGATCACAATTAAATTTGGCAATGGCAAGCAAATGTGGCTATTGCTGCATTCTGAAACGGAAAAGAATGATAAAAAAACAAGTCAAAATAGTGTTAGGGGATGAATGTTACTACATTATATACTGTAGTATTTGATTTTGGCATTTCCAAACTGTGTTAGTGCGTATTATTATACACCATAAATTTCATTCCGCTTATTTCCATCATCTCATTTATCAAATAAATAGCTGAGATGGGGCAATAAACTATCATCTTCCTCAATGTATGAAACATTCTGCATTTAAATTAACAACAAATCCAAAGTACCTCTATAAAAGAAATCAAACAATAACAGCATGAATAAAATATTCCCTAAATAAATAAAAAAATATGATTTGTGGGCTAAATCAAAGTAAAAACACTGGCATATGGGGGGTTAATGTGGTTCTTGGTCTTTGCTACATGTAATGAAATAAGCATTTTCAGAAGAATATAGCATGCACCATGCTGAATTCACCAATCTAGCGAAAGCCAAAGTCTGAGAAAGATCTGGAAGGAAGTGTATCAAACAGGTAAACCCCTTAGAATGACCCATCAGTTACATACAGTACATTAAACCTTTTAAACATGTCCCCTTTCAGTCATAATATAACTTAATCAAGAATGTTTGCTTAAAGATTTACAGTACAATTGAATTTGCTTAGGAGCATGTTAAAAGAACAACAGAGCAAAGTAAAATCATAGCAGAATGTTTGGCTTGCACACCGAGAGGCATGAAACAATCAGGCAAAGGCATACATATAAAAGCAGGAAGTGGTAAGGCTTGAAATATGTTGACGAAATACAGTGATAAATATGTAACAGTACTTTTCCCGATCATAACATTAATAATAATTATAATAATGTGTCACTTTTAAAAACTCAGCATTAACAGTGCAGCTCTGGTTCAATACATGTACACTTTGGCAAAGAGGCAAGCACCCAAAATACTATACCGAACCCCTTTTTCCACAAAATCCGATTTAAAACGAAAAAACAAAACAAAAAAAACTATATGCTATTATTTTATTCTATCATACAGAAGCAGTATTTACACACAGCTGCCAAAATATTTGACATTTTACATGTGCTTCTCAGAACACACGCACACACGCGCGCACACACACACATACACACACAATAAATGCATGGCAATAAAGACCTTGCTGCAACAAAAAGCAAGAAAAAAAGTCAAATAAAACAGTACAGATCTTGTGCAATAATCACAAATGCTTTAAATGCAGTGCATGTTCAAGCAAATAAAGATTAAAAAAAAAAAACTCCTGACCCAGATCTTAAAGGGTTAGTTCACCCAAAAATGAAATGAACGTTATTGATTACGCGCCAGTCCAGGGAAACATTCACGCTCATCTTCACAACACAAATTAGGATATTTTAGATTAAATCTTAGAGCTTCACTGAATCTCATCCTGCGTTGACAGCAAGATTCCTGACTTGATCAGAGTCCTGAAAAAAAAAAGCATCCTCAAAACAGACGATATGCCTACAGTTGGACTATTCTCAAGCTATATGAGAATACTTGTGTGCACATAAAACAAAAATTATGAAGACTTTATTCAAGGGTTTCTTCTTCTCAGTGTCAGTATAGTGTGCACGTTCATGTCGCATGCCTCATGCTGAAACTGTGAAAAAGAAAATGTTGAATAAAGACATTATTTTTGTTTCATGTGCAAATAAAAAATATTCTAATAGCTTAATAATATTACAATTAAACCATTGAAGGCATACAGACTGTTTTGAGAATGAATTTTTTTTTTTTTTTTTTGGTATTTTTCTGAACAACTCAGGACTGTTGCTGTCTATGGAGGATGAGGGAGCTCACAAATTTCATCAAAAACACTTTAATGTGTTTTCCAAACACAGTCTCTGAGGTTTGGAAGGACATTAGGGTGAATAATTAATAATTTAAATTTTTAGGTGAAATAAATCTTTAAACATAATACAGGCCTTATAATACACTGAAACATACACAGCCAGAATTTTTTTCTGTCTGATAAAGATTTAAAGGGATTAAGTTAATTCTTAATTTCCTTTACTCAGTTCACCAAAGGTGTGTGGGTGACACTTTTTCTTCAGGGGAACATTATTTAAGATTCTTAGCTTAAACTGTAGTCCTTGGTGAATCATATAATGCAAATTAATACATACAGCACTTTGAGAGTAAAAAAAATATATATAGAGTTAAATCAACATTAATAACCATGGCTCCTGACAATATTAATGAGGACTTCCAAAACAAATTGATTAATCTGTGCAATAAACTGAATATTATTTACAACACTCAGTCTAAGCAAAATCAATGGTTAGATTACAAAAATTGTCAAAAAATAAAGCAATAATTCACTCGATCCAAACCAGGTTGACTTTCAATCTTCTGTTGAAGCCACTGTCTTCTTCAGTATTTGTTTTTACTACTACAGATGACAATTTAATATATTATTCTTTGTGTTCAACAGAAGACTAATTCATAAAAGATTAGAACCACTTAAGGAAACGTTCATGCCCAAATAGATATTCTGTCGTTTTTTACTCGTCTCACTCGTCACTCGTTCCAAACTAGTTTGAGTTTCTTTGTTCTGTTGAACACAAAGAATGTTGGAAACCTCCAACTATTGACTTACATAGCAGAAAAAAACCTACTATTTTAAGTTTGAGTCTGGTGAGCGCACATCATAGTGCAATGAGGTTTAATAAACGTTGGGATTCTACAAATAAGTACCATTTTGGTGATCAATACAATGCACATATCATCCCTCTCTATAGTAAACATACAGAGTTCACATACCTGTATACATCTTTACATGACAGAAATCTGGCACTCTTTAAAGTCATGAATGAGCTCAGCTCTTTTTGCTGAGGCTGTAGATAAAAGGTTATATTGTTGTAAATAGTGTCCAGTTTCTTCCCAACTATTTCACTTCATAAGGCCTGCATTTGCTTGTTTGGGGGGGTTTGGGAATATATAAGTACTAGTAGTCATTGACTTTCAATATATGAATCACCATCACAATCAAATCTACTAAAGAAAGGAAGTCACCTACAACTTGAACTAGCCGAAGGTCAGTACATTTGCAACAAACCTTTCATTCATTTTTGGTTGAACTATTCATTTCAACGACACTGAAATTTGCTTTTGTTTTATGATGAATAAGAGCCACTGAACTCAAAGTTCCAGGATATGAAGGTCACATCACTATATTACCTTTGGTAATAATTTTGGCTGTATTAAACTTTGTAACATTGATGATTCCCATCATATCAACAGTTTACATATACAGTAAAACAACATTCCTCATGAAGTCGTGTCTATATGCGAAAAGTCTGATTTGGAGTCTGCCGACCTCAAATATTCCTCAGGGCTAAGATGTAAAACATCTGCTTGCATGGAGGTAAACCCCAAAGTATTGCTTTATATCCCAACCTAATGGACGTGTCTTCAGTAACTTTGACAACTGTGCTATTAAGCCGGACTCTCAAGCCAGTGTGGAGAAAACTATGCCTGGTGGTTTTCCAGTTTAAGCTAAAGCCCTTTACCTCAAATATTCACCAGTGCGGCTCCTAGCTGACCAAGCATATATTAAAACACCACTGGGCCTGTAAAACAGCTGACGGAAGCGATACGGTAGCTGCCAGGAGTCAAAAATAAAGCATTTAGGTGCAAAAAGGAGAGCGTTTAAATACGTCAAGTATGTACAACACAAATGAGAACAGAATAAAACAAGTTCTTAAATAAACATACTCGTAGATGAAGGGATGGTGAATGCTGAGAGACAGAAGCCCCATACACACACAAACAAGCACACAAACACACACGTTTCAGAGATGTTGTAGATTCGGCTACAATGGAAGCTTCTTCAGCTGCTCGAAGGTCATGAAGAACTGAAACTTCAGTCAAGGATCACAGAAAGATCAGAACACACTGTATTCACTTAATTAATCCATCACATACATGTTAGTAGTGTACACACACATGCACACAGATATTTTCTGTTCATTACACAATGTGAATTATGTTTTGCCTGGAGCAAAGTTTAGTGTTTCGTGCACTGCTTTTCAGCAAAGGTGCTCGTCAATCATGTTGATCTGGGTTATGAATGTGACTTTACCATCTGTGTAGTGAATGTGTTGAACTGCATGCAAAAAAATAAACATACAATAGTCAGTGTTTTCTGAGGCACATATATGGACTGGATATTTTTAGTAGACCAAATTATAAAGGGTGAGTCACAAGAAACTGCAAACTGGCATGCAGTTCTGAATGCATTTGTGTGTGTATGGATGCAAACACTAGGGTTTCTGCAGGTTTCACCAAGTTAAATTTAAGACGTTAAGACGTTTTTAAGACCATTATGAACACAATTTAAGACTCACACAGAGTTTAACATTAATTATTTTTCAAATAGCCCAGACGGGGGGGGGAAATATTTTCCTTATTAATATAATCATATCATTAATCATTAAAGAACTATTAATTTAATATTGTTTTTATATATTTTAGATTTTCAAATAAAATATTTCATATTTTATCTATTGTGTAAAAACGAGCAAGCTCTACTTGTATGCATACTTTTCTTTCTAACATAAACTTTCTTTAAAATAAAATTTAAAAATGGACAAATGTTTCAAACGTTTTAAAAATATAATAAATGAAATCTATGCACAGCAATCTGTCCAGGTCGGGGTCCTCAGCAGTAAATGCATGGAGCACTTTTAAACAAATGTTTTTGTATAGAAAGTAATTGGTAAATAGTTCAAAATAACATTTTTAAATATAAAGTTTAAAGTTATTGCGATAGACTGTTAGTGATTGTATGGCTGTTGGCCAAATTGGGTAGTGATACATGAACAAAGGAAAATTAAGACCTGTTTAAAAAGATTTAAGACCTACAACACATTATTTCAGTAAATTTAAGACTTTTTGAGGCCTAAAATTTTTATTTTTGAGATAAAACATTTTCAGACTGCAAGACCATGCAGACACCCTGGGTTGGGTATAATCTATATTATTCTATCCAAAAGGAAATTGAAATTATGACTGGAGATAACTTGTAAACAAAGTAGTGGATGTTGAAAAGATTAATTATGTTTCTGACTTTCATAATTCTAGACAGCTCTAATTAGGGCTGAACAATATTTCATTTGAGCATTGATATCGCAGTATGTGTATCCACAATAGTCACATTGCAGGATTTTATTATTTATTAAGGATTAAAGGATAAATTCATTAATAAATACTATTTAACTATATTGTAAAAAAAAATTATACATAAATGTTATTTTATGTTTGATTGTTCAATTTTAGTTTTTCAATTCTGTTGACTCCCAAGAAAACCATGAAGCACTATTTTTTTTTTTACTTTTATTTTTGCTCTATTGCTTGTAACTTATTATATTTCATGCAGTTGCACCACATAGAAAAAGGCTTGATCGCCTCAGTCGATCTAATAATTAACTCTTTCCAAATAAAACTGTTCAAATCCTCTATTTGCAGCCCAATAAAAGCAATGTCAGATTTTTCAATATCGTGCAGCCCTACCTCCAATGTACAAAGAGAGCTTTACTGTTGAAAAGTAAAACATGATAAAATAAAATTGAAATAAACGTACTTTTGTTTTATTTTAAATACTATTGAGAAAATAAAACCTCTATATTCCACACAATGGACAGATTATTTGGACACTTAAAGCATCAGAATGATTTCTAGAAGATGATTAGTACTGCAGACTTGAGTAATACATTCAGTTTTGCCATCGCAGGTTTAAAAAAATAAATAAAAGTGAAATTAAACTCATAATATTGTGGTTTTAGTGTTTTCTAGATTAAATAAATGCAAAAATAATATACTAACCTAGTGCAGTAAAGAAAGCATCTCAGCTTGGGTGAAAATGGCTATGGGTCAGAGTGTCAGACCTTAGATTGCAATGTGCTGACCTCTAGTGTTCGAGCCATGTAAACACCACAAATGCATTAGTTCACCCAAAAATGAAAATCCTTTTATTATTCCATTTTTATTTACTCACCCTTATGCCGTTCCAAACCCCCAAAATACCTTAGTTCATCTTTAGAACAAAAAAGAAGATATTTTAAATGAAATCTGAGATCAGAAAAGCAACTAAAAACATTGTCAAAACCATGTAACTTCCATGTTTCCATTTAACTTCAGTGGTTCAACTGTAACCATACAAAGCCTAAAGAACAATTTTGTGCAAGTCATTTATGCAAGTTTTTTGGCACACAAGTGTTCTCAGAGCTTTGTATGGTTAAAGTTGAACCACTAGAATACTTCAACGACGTTCACCATTCTTTTTTGAGTTTGAACATCTCAGGACCATTGCTCTCTAAAATATCTTAATTCCATTTCTGAAGATCTTACGGGTTTGGAGCAATGTAAAGGGGAGTAATAACAGAATTTGGTTTTGGGTAAACATTTACATTACAATTATTCATTCATTTTTTTCGGCTTAGTCCCTTTATTAATCAGGGGTCGCCACAGTGGAATGAACTGCCAATTTATCCAGCATATGTTTTACACAGCGGATGCTCTTCCAATGGGAAACACCCATACACTCTTGAATTCACACACATACACTACAGCCAATTTAGCTTATTCAATTCACCTATACCACATGTCTTTGGACTGTGGGGGAAACCGGAGCCTCAGGAGAATGCCCATGCCAACACGGGAAGAACATGCAAACTTGAATAAGCATCCTTCTTCCTGTGAGGCGACATTGCTACCCACTGCGCCACAGTTTCACCACATTGCAATTAGCAAAAAACAACACAAAAATACTCTTTCCACAACAATCATGTAGGCATTTAAAGGTCCCATGGTATGCTTTAAAATATGCATTTTTTATTCGATCTCAACCGAAACATGATGAGAGGGTGTGACAGTGTAGCTCCTTCCCCTTAAAAACAACCAATAGTGTTTTTGTTTTAATCATCGCACTTACAGTGAGAGTGACTGAGCTCAAATGCATCAAATGAAAAGCAAATGAGAAGCGTCTTGATGGGGGCGGGGCATGTCAGATACTAGAGAGCATTTGATTGGTTATGATTTGATGAAAAACTGTAGTATGAGGTTATGTGAATAAAACCTTTGATCCATTTAGGTGGAAGTGAAACTACAAGCTTTATATGTTGATATCAGTTTTATATCTAATAAATGCAAACTTTCTCACTGTTTTAGAGCACACAAGCTTATAGATATCTTAAACACCTAATTACACTGACACCATCATCTAAAAAGCTTTACCAAAAAGAAATGTGCTTATTCCATACTGAAAAGACAAATGCAACCACTTCTATACAGTCCATTTTAAGATTATGACCTTTTTATATATTCAGTCATGATTCATACAAGCATGTATTACCATCGTCTGTGTTATCAAGAGTTTATTGATTATCTGTTGCTTGTGTATTAACCTATGCGGTAAAACTTGAATTAGAATTGTTTTACTAATACAGATAAACAAGATGTTGATACTTGTGCAGCATATTAGCATTGTAAGATGCTTGTAACATTTTCATCAACATCCAATCAGAATGCTCATTGAAGACAAAAGGCGTGTTCCAATCCACCTTTAGACATGCACAAGCTAACTTTCCTTTCCTTGTTCCCTTGAGAAATCCCTAACAGCCAAAAGTGTCTTCCACTTTATCAAGTGAACGAGGGAAGTTTACATGGACCCTCGATAACTAGATTTTACCCGTGGGAGTAAATCTTACTAGTCCCGCGTTGGAACCCCTTTTGCCTTCAGAACTGCCTTAATCGTTCGTGGCATAGATTCAAAAATGTACTGGTAATATCCCTTAGACATTTTGGTCCACTGGAAGTAGCCATCAGAAGATGAGTACACTGTGGTCATAAAGGGATGAACATGGTCAGCAACAAATGGCGTAGACACAATGCTCAATTGGTACTAATGGGCCAAAAGTGTGCCAAGAAAATATCCCCCACACCATTACACCACCACCACCACCACCCTGAACCGTTGATGCAAGGTAGGTTGGATACATGCTTTCATGTTGTTGATGCCAAATTCTGACCCTACCATCTGAATGTTGCAGCAGAAATAGAGACTCATCAGACCAGGCAACATTTTTCCAATCTTCTATAGTCTGTATGCCTGCGTGAATTGTGGCCTCAGTTTCCTGTTCTGAGGAAGTGGTCCCCGGTGTGGTCTTCTGCTGCTGTAGCCCATGACCCTAAAGGCTCGACATGTTGTGCGTTCAGAGAAGCTCTTCTGCACACCTCAGATGTAATGAGTGTTTATTTGAGTTACTGTTGCCTTTCTATCAGCTCGAACCAGTCTGGCCATTCTCCTCTGACCTCTGGCATCAACGAGGCATTTTTCGCCCACAGAACTGAAGCTCACTGGATATTTTCTCTTTTTCAGACCATTCTTTGTAAACCCTAGAGATGGTGGTGCGTGAAAGTCCCAGTAGATCAGCAGTTTCTGAAATACTCAGACTAGCCCATCTGGCACCAACAATCATGCCATGTTCAAAGTCACTAAAATCACCTTTCTTCCCCATTCTGATGCTCTATTTGAACTGCAGCAGTACATCTTAACCATGTTGACATGCCTAAATGCATTGAATTACTGCCATGTGATCGGCTGATTAGAAATTTGCATTAACAAGCAGTTAGACATGTACTAACTAATAAGTGGCCAGTGAGTGTCCAAGAATGCAATGCGATTGTGACATCACAACAGTGTAGATGTCATCAAGTGCTCAAGGGTTTAGGGCAGGGGTCACCAACCCTGGTCCTGAAAAGCAACATTCCTGCAGAATTTAGCTCCAACCCTGATCAAACACGTCAATAATTTTCCTGTGATAGTTAACTCTCATTGGTTATCTCAGCTTCCCAATCTCCGTCCCCTATAAAAGAGACTGCCCTTAAGATAACACAAACTCCTTGCAACCATGTGTTACAAGAGAAGATGCTGAACTAACAGTTCTCCCCAACCACACCCTAGGCTTGTGACCTTATCTTTTCATTTATCCAAGATTTTTTGTAAAACTTCAGCATCTACTTTACCAAAGATCAACAGGAGCCTCAACAAACACTCTCTTTCAAACAGACAAGACGTGACATCGCGTCTTCAGTTTCGTAATCAGTCTAAGACTCGCACTACAAGCACACCGAGCCAAAGCCCAGCTGAACCACACTCTGGCACACCTCTTTCAACCAGGCCAGGGCTGGCTAACTGAACCACGCCTGAGTGCAATTCTGACCACTCTCAGGCCGTACTCACACTAGGTACAGTTGCCTCGAACCGGGCCAAAGCACGCTTGTCCCCCCTCCCGTCTCCCCCGACGGCCCGCGCTCACACCATATCGGGCCTCGGCACGCTTACGTCATCGCTGCTGCGCTGTTCAGTGAAGCGCTCTCTATGCCAAGCCTTTTTAGCATTTAAATCTTTGTTCTGACTCCATAAATATATCTCTAATTATATTTTGACTAGTCATAATTATAATTCCACTACTCAGAATGACAATTAGAGATATCTGCAATTACAATTGTACTAGTACGAAATCAGATTGGAGATATCTGCAAATATATTATGACTAGTCATATTCCTCCATTGACTTCCATTGAAAAATATTTGCAGATATCTCTAAATGAGTTTTGATTAGTCACAATTGTAATTAGCGATATCTCCAAATAAATTTTGACTAGTAACAATTGTAATTAGAGATATCTCTAACTGAGTTTTTACTAGTCATAATACATTTGGAGATATCTTTAATTCGTCATATTTAGAGATATTTACAAATATATTTGAAGATATCTCTAATTAATTTACTAATAGTCGAATTACAGTTGTAGATATCTTGAATTGGATTTTTAACTAGTCAAAATTTATTTGGAGATATCTCTAATTACAATTGTGACTAGTCAAAACTCATTTAGAGATATCTGCAAATATTTTTCAATGAAAGTCAATGGAGGAATATGACTAGTCAGTCATAATATATTTGCAGATATCTCCAATCTGACTAGTCAAATTATAATTATGACTGGTCAAAATATAATTAGAGATATCTCTAAATATATTTATGGATAGTCAGAACAAGGTTTAAATGCTAAAACGGCTTGCCATACACTCTCACCCAGTAGCACAGTGGAGATTTCTCTAGTTATATCGTTTCAGTCGTTTGTTACGCAGTGATATGCAGTCAAATATTTCGCCAAGCAGTCCATAGGGATGCGGTGACACGCAGTCGGATATTTCACCGGACAGATCCGCCACTTTTGGCGCTCATAAACAATCATTAAGCTCTCGTGCTGCAGGAATGAGGAGGTCTGCTGAAGGTGCGCAGCTGTCATGCTGTGAGGAGTTCTCGTCTTTAATAAACTACGGCAGTTTGCGATCACTGAACAGTAAGAATTATTAATAAATCCATATGAAACAACCCCTTAAAAGTCACGTATCACTTTCAGTTTCGGGCTTTGGCGTGTTTTGCACTCACACACAAGCGTACCGCGCCAAAGCCCAAGTGTACCGCGCTCAGGCACACCTCTTCCAACCGGGCCAGGGCCGGCCAAGTGAACGGTGCTTGAGCCCGATTCAGCGCACTCACACTTCTCAAACGATCCGGGAAACGGGCCTGGGCACGGTACGGATGGCATAGTGTGAGTAGGCCCTCACTTGTCTAATAAACCAGGAAAAGGGCCGGGGCTTGGTTCAAATAGCCAAGTGCGAGTACACCCTCAATTTGGCCACAACTTTCTCTGTGTTTCAGCAAGTAGAATAATTTTTGGTGACAAATTTTATTTTGACAAATTTTAGGAAACCATCTTGAAATATAAAAAAAATTCAACAATACACTCTTGCCAAATGTACTACCGTTTTGTTGTTTGTGCCTGTATTACCCCTTTGACTTAAATTAATGGCGATTTTGATTTTATGATTGATATCATCAGATGCAGTGCAAAAAAAAGCTTAGTTTCTGCCTTCTAAACGGAGTAAAGTGTACTTGTGAGAGTGAGGAGATCTTTGCACACTCATCTCGATACGTCTGAGTACATCTAAATAAGCAGCTCAGCTCTCAGAACGTACTGTAGTAAACATCGTCAGTGTATTTATGCACACAATCTGTTTGACTCTATGGAACTTTATATAACAAGAAATAAACCTTTTTTGCACAGGCCTTTTTAAAGGGTTAATGCTGCTAACTGATGATCAACAGTAAAAACTACAAATTTTACCTCTATTAAACAGGAAAAACCACCAACAATCAAGAACGCATGAGTATATGCTGTCATGGCTTTGCAATCAAGAAGTGTTATTAAAATGAAAGTCAATGGGGCAAAAAGAGCCACAAACATAATGAAAGGGCAGTCAATTTGAACAGTACACAAGGGTTGTTAAAAAAGCCTTATTTATATTATACTTTAAAGAGGTTTATTGTTTTGACTGATGTCAATGATGATGTTCATGCTCTCAGAATTGGATGGTAAGATTTCATAACCTACAAATTAATCTTCTTTGAAGAATTAAACACTTGACCCAGAGGTGTCAAGTAAAAGCGTAGAGCTAATCTAAATATTATAATTGATCAAACCTACTAACAATTAATATTATTAAGAAGATTATTAATATTTCCCCTTGAGCTAATTTGCTTCATAACACTTTGAAGCCATGTTACTATATTTTTAAAGGATACGATGATGTTCCACGGCCCCAGACGCAGCCAGTTAGGCCAGAAGCCTTTATAGAGAGCGAAAAAGCCTTCATTTCTCCAGGTCTGCATGAGTCCGTCCAGCGTGCCCTTGTACAGAGGGTTACCGGCGAGCACACGCTGATTCATCATCCGCGTCCTCACCACATCCACCGGATTAGAGGCCAGAGCGCCTGCCAGGCCACACGTGAAACTGGAACTGTACAAACAGAATGCAAGTTCATCGCAAGATCAACCAGGAAATCAAATATTGAACAGACAACAATCGAGATTCTCACATGAAATGAGTTAACACCGTGTCTCCCATGAGGCCTGAACGGATCAGATGTTTCTTGGTGATGTCATAGACTGGCAGCTCCACACCGACCACGATGGCTGCCCTCTGTGCAGTAGGAATAACACCCTGAGGAGGATCAAAACATCACTGTATCAATGCAAAGTGTATAAAGGTCACACTGATGGATCTTGGGATGTTAAAACGGCTGATGTGAAAGTCATGTCAGTACTCACCCTCCACAGGCCTCGTGTGCCCTCCGTCTGGTAGATGTTCATGAAGTTGGACATCATACTGCCCTGTAACAGACTGCCCTGAGCCTGCATGCGAATCTGTGCGAAACAGAATAATCTCACGTTAAACAAGCTTGAGTCGAGTTAACAGTAAAAATAAAAAATGTCAAAATAATTTGTTCTGTTCAATATAGCAAACTTTTTAAACATGTGAAGCAAGGGTGGCCTATTAAAATTATAATGAACGAATAGGTTAACAATAAAAACCTCTAAAAACAACAAAACATGTTAAATGTTTCATATAACGTTTATATTCCAAAGCAGAACTAAATGCCACCGCCACACCAAGTTTGTTTGAAAAGTGTGTAGAAGGGCTGGAGCATATTTAATTTTGACCTATATTTATATTTTGATAAAATTGCAACCAGATTACTTCAATAGCTCTATTTGAAAAGAATTTATTAATTTAGACTGATGGAGATGTTTATGTAGAAGAGTGAATCGTACACAATTTTTTATTTTATATATTTATTTTGTATAAATATAATAAAGGAAAAAAGCAAAAAAAAATTGTGTTTTATGGTTTTCTGGAGAGTCTACTGTAAGAATTGAAATATTACAAATATTTTTAATGTCTTTGACAATTCAAAACATGAGCTGAAGACAGGGCCAATGGACTCCACAGCCCACCAGGGGGGAATGCGGGAAAAACCAGCTCCTGCTGCGTTTGCATCTGAGTATGCTAAAACTCAGCTTCATCCCCCCAACTCACGCATATGGTCATTTCAATGTTTGAATGTTCTAGATTAACCACACTGACTTTAACTATCATGTTTGATATCATTTGAAATGTCTCAGTGCGATTGGTACAATGGTCTCATTCTCTCAGAAATAGACATAATCAAAACAATAAATATATAACTTCAGGCATCTTTTGAACCACTGTGAAGGGTGTGACTTTCCCTTTTGTTATTCACACCCCCTTCCTTGGGGGAATTCTTGGATTATTTAAGGTAAGGGTTGAGAAAGACTCAGCGCGATTCTGCCTACCCAGATCAGCCCATAACATGGAGCCTAGGCTCCACGTTATGTAAAATTTACACGTTATGTAAAAAGTCAGGAATGCATCTTTTAATCTTGGACTTATCTTTGATAATTTGATGTTTTGTATTGATCGTTTATAAATTGACTGATTGAATTTGGCATAATACATTTACCTGACTAATAAATTATGTTTTGAATTATTCAAACCTTGTGTTATTATCACTGATAAATGTTGTTGTTCATAGCACTACAAGCCACTGTACAGGTTAGTAACGGACTAAAACATGTTAGACGGAGCAGCGTGGCACGCTATACAATGTTGGTAGAGATCCGACTAACAAATTGGCATTTATTCATGTATACTTGGACTGTAAAAGGCCAACTATTTAGAACAACAAAATATTGTTGAAACTACTTTAAATGTGGATATTTAGGCCTTCATCTACAATAGTATAATCCTGCGCGATTATTATTAAAATACTTTGTCTTGAATTAGTAGATAACAGATCTATGGGGACCACATAAAAAATCTCCTAAATTGAGTAAGTAGTGTTCTGCCTTTCTAGGAGAGTGGTTAATCGCCTCTGTTTAATGACCAAGACTGACAAGCTTGTATTAAGAGATTGTATACCCGGCTGGTGCAAGACTCGAGATGCTATCGGAATCTGAGTAAATGAGAATAAGGTATAATAACAAATCAAAAGAATATTCAATCATAATCTAAAATAATGTGAAAGGAAACAAAATAATCTTCTCAATGTTTTATAATTGGAGTCAGATAAAATGAGGATAAATATATTAATATTCTAAACCACCTCATACTAAAATTGGAGTCAGATATGAGTTAAGTTTAATATAAATCAACATTGTGCACTGGAAAGACCGAACATGCAGTGAACCTTCATCCACCATTGGATACCGTCATTGGACCAACTGGCTGGACCCTACACTACCATTATTCATAAACATTAATCATTATTTATATACAACTTGAATAATCAAATGTTAAAACACTAAATAATCTTGTAATGTAAAGTGGGACGCTGACAACAGGGGCGCAGATCCAAATGCAGGTTCATTGTACAGGGATGGTCAGACAAGCAATCCTCAACTCAAGAACAAACAGATGTATACGAGCAATCCAGAGTTGTGGTCAATAGACAGGCAGATGGTAAAAAGGCAGGCTGCAGAAAATGTAAAACACACAAAACAAAGCAAGGTTCAAACACGGAAGGCAAGGCAAGGAAAATGTGTTGCAATGTTCACAATCAGTATAATAAGACTCAGCACTGATGTGTGTGAGTGTGTGCACGCTGTTTAAATAGTCCTGTTATCAGTCCATGAGCAGCTTCAGCTGTGAGTGTTTGCAATCAGGATTAGGAACCAGTGTGTGCAGTGCATGACAGGAGCTTGTAGTCCATAGATGGCGGATTTGTAGTCGCTCGATCGCTGGTTATTGTAACAAGTCTTCATTATATAAACAATTCAATAAAACAACTTCATTAAAAGTTAAAAACAATACAATATTGTGTGTGTATGCTTTAAACTTTTAATATGCACAATGCCAATCCTTAAAAATATGCGATGCCTCTGGGCAGTTTTTCCATGACTATCTAAAATAAATGGGGGGAATAAAAGCATCTTAAAAACTGCTTTCTAAACTCAAAGTACAATTAACTGTGATCTGTTTGAATTATGTTTAAATTTCCAGTTTGCTCCAGCTACTGTGTATGTTCAAAAAGATTGTCCAAACAACATTAAACTTGTTTATGGCTGTTTCAAATGGCAACCAGGGGACATGGTTACAAAAAACGGGAAAATCGAGACAAAACCCAGAGCAAAACTAAAAGAGGACACTGGAAAGACAAGATATGTGATCAGATGCAATGTCATTTTTTTGTCAATAGCAGGGCAAGCACGTAAAAGTCGCTAAATGACAGGGATTGAAGTAACAAATAAGAAAACCTGCACAAACCCCTCCCCCAGAGCTATAAAGATTGAAAAAAGAAAGTGTCTAATTCTAACATCTTGGAAACAGAAATTTACGTGTACAACCAGTGGCGTAGCGGACAGGCCCCGCATCGTCACGATTTTCAATAATTGTAAATCTGGCAACCGCAATAATCAAACTCTTGGGAACAACTGTGGTTGGAACCAAAGTTCACAGGTCTGTGTTCTCTGTACACCTCTCAAGCGGTGGACTACTTCATTCTGATTGTTTGCCGCCAAACCGCATCATAGCTCATACCATAAAGTTGATTTGATTTCAACAATCCTCAACGCTCACACCGGAGAAGACGCGCCACATTGTTTCTCGCCGCCGAATCTCATTGAAAATGAATGATTTCTGGCTACTTTGAAGCTCTCGCTGCTATTGGTTTGTGATCACTCCTCAGTTTGAGAAGGCTTCCCCGCCTCCTTTCCCCGCTCCTCAATTTGTGATTGCTTCCCAGCGTTGTTGCTCCACCCCGCCTCCCTTCCCCGCTCTTCAATTTGTGATCAAATTCTTGATTTACAAACATTATTGTGACACGTTATTTAAATTAAGTGGCTAAGAAATAGCTTTTAAATTGTTTTGGGGTTTTTTGGTGGGGTCAGTGAAAATTTTATCAGGGCAAGTAAAAATCTTAACCAATTGCCTGATTCGGCCAGTTGAAAAAGTTTTAGCATTGAACCCTAAAAATTCTTGAAACAAGGTTTTTTTTGTTTGTTTGTTTGTTTTGTATTTGTATCATATTGACAGAAAGAAATTGTCACCTATCCCTAAAGCAGTCTGAGAAAGCAAACTGGTATGAACTGCATATGTTCATTGACGAAGAGATGGTGTGTATGACGCATGGAAAGGGCAGTTGTTTTTGCAGATTGAAGTGTCATAAATTACCGTGAAGTTGTTCTAAAATTCCATTTGTGAAGTGGAGCAGAACCCACTTAACACTCTCAGCCACAGACAGCCTGTTCTGGCCACAAGAATGGGCAATTTTTCTGCTTGATGAATACAAGCAGGATGGCACAAACCTTCATGACCTCACGGTCTCTTAATTATGACTTGAAATATATATAAATATTAAGTCTACTCTTTAGAGCCAAGACTATGTGTGACGGTAGTGGTGACAGGACATGTAAACAGCAGACAACCATGTACATAAATGCAGTATGTGCTTGTCAAAAAATCAAATATGATTTGAATCTTGTGACGCATAAATGAGCACAACATTCAGTGTTCATGTAAACACTACAGTTGGATTCAATCAATTTTGAAGTGATTTTAAAGTGACTGAAGAAAACAACGCACATGTAAACGTAGCCACTGAAGGATGAATAGCTGCTGAATATCAATCATAGGGCTGGGAGATGTAGCAAAAAAGAATATCACAATATAATGTTTCATATCAATCGGTATCAGTAATTATTAAATATTTTTTTACAATCCATTTATCAACAACATCCAGTCATCATTTTTTTTTCAACCACATTATCTTAATTTGCCAACATTACTAAGGTAAATAGTTTTAATAGTAAAAAATAAATAAATTACAAAAATATCTCGTCTCTTATGTCTTATAATAAAAGAAACATACGTTAAAGAGACTTTTAAACTCGATAAATAAAATGTTGCTAAGTATATGCAATGGTAACGTGTAAACGCTGAACAGTCAAAGCAATCTTTAGGTTAATAATGATACAGTACACCTTAACCTCTGTCAACAAAAATTATGATAATCAAATCTGAGCTTTCAAGTAAAGGAACTAACCCTCATTATGCAAATACATACTGCAACATTACAAATAAAGTCGATTCTCTGGATTTAATGCTAACAGATTACATGTGACTACATTGTTTCAGATAGGGTGCTAGGGGCTGGGATGCACAAGAAAAGAAACCAAAAAGCCACTCTGGCGACCTGATACATCCTTTTTATTCACAATCTTCTCACTGCTGCTGTCTGACCTGACCTGAGGGGGTGATGATGCAACCCAACCAGAGGATGTTTACATATTGTGCCTATAAGCATGTGAAAAGTGCAAGGTGCGTGGTTTCCTTCACCATTGCTTTACTGCAGTTCTGATACAAGTTTTATTTATGGAGAAAAGTACTGCTTTGCATTTGTTTAAGGTAATTAGTCTACCGTTATTACCGAAATGTGTATATTCCATACAAAGTTTAAAGCTGACTGGTTAGTTGTAGTTGCATGAATCACAGTGCGCTCGCAGCATTCTGAAAAGTTGAGCTTGAAAAATGCAAGTGCATAGAGAGCGTGAAGCGCTAAACTGGAAAACATACACTATAGCCTTTTCTTTATGGCGTTATTGACAATGGTGTACAGACAATAATTACCAATACAATTTTGACACCCAGCCCAAGTCAATCATTCAACATATTAAAATACAAATCTGGTATTTGAAATTGTGAATATATATTTGGCATTTATCACTACATTTTGATTATTTGTAAAATCTATTTCTTGTATTTATTAAATTATGGCCATGCAAAATGCAATGTTACAGTCATTTTAGAATAGAAATTTACAGAAGTTTCAAAAATGTTTCAATTTTGTTTTGATTTGATTTATTTATTTTCGAACAAAATATTATACATAAAATATCATTAAAAAAAATTTAATTTCAACATGTTTGAAAATGGAGTGGGAGGAAGCACAAGCTCAATAGCTCAATTTGAAAAGAGCTCAATAATTAGATCGACTGGAATCATCAAGTCTTTTTCTATGCAATGCAAAAATTAAACAAGCAAAATTAAATGGTGTTTTATGGTTTTCTGGGGCGTCCAACAGCAATCGAGTACAGAAATTTAACAATCAAACATAAAACAACATAATGGCCATTGTATAAAAAATAAAAAGATAATACTATATAATAGCATCTTTATCTTTTAATCTTCAATAAATAATCTAATTCTGCGATGTGACTATTGCAGATACACACATTGCGATATCAAGGCTTTACCGATATAATGTCGGTATGAAATAAGGGTATGAAATACCCTTGTTTTTGTTCTTAATGATAAAGTACACAAGGCAATTTTACTACCTCTTTAGTGAAATAAATGTTAACTACAATATTTTAGTATCATTAGTTACCATGGTAGTGTTTTGTTTTTTTATTTGGAGAAATGACGTCAGGCATGTTTTACGTAACAATATTTACTAGTTGACTCATCACCAGCTGTTTTTGGTGGCAGCCTTTTTATGAACAGATATTAATATATGTTGTTATATTGAAATTAAATTAGTAACTAAAACAGCTTTTTTTAATACTGCAAATTTATGTAAACAGTTATGCCAATCAGAGCTGCTGCTTTTTAACCATAGATCAAGCTTTTTGTGCATTTAAGAACCCTGGTATGAGTATTATCTTATTTTACATTAGAGGCATCTTAGAGTTTTTGTCATGTTTCAAGTCCAAAAGTTCATAAATCAAGTAGCATTTTCTAGACAAGTAAAAAGAATGTTTTGTTTTCAAAAATAAGTCAAAATTATATTGGCGTAAGTAAAATATTCTTATCCCAAATCAAAAACAAGATTATTTGGCACAATGGCAGATTATTTTGCTTGTCTCAAGGAACAAGTCACTTTTGTCACAGATTTGATTTGTTACTTCTGAAAACAATGTTATATTTCTAAATTTGTCTAAAATGCTTCTTAATTTAAGAATTGTTTAACATTTGGACAAGAAACAAGACACAAACTCAAAGAAGAGCATTTTTACAGTCTATAGCCCCTTACATACAGTGATACCAGTAAATATATGGAAAATTTCCGGAACGACTTTCCCGGTAAATCAAAAAAAGTGCTGTTCACACAGACGAGGACGTTACGGAATTTTTCCAGAAAAGAGCATTCACACATCCATTCCAAAATACCGGTAATTCTGACATCATTAACCAGAAATGACCTCTAAACAGCTGCGCTTGTGTTTGTAAACATATGACTACATCACAAACTCTGTGGATGGATCAGTATTGTGAACAACTTCGATGAAAACGTATAGAGAAACTCTTCGTATGTCGAGATGTAAATGATATGTGTGTGTGCTGGCGCTCACGGGCTGTTTCACGGGCACACGCAAAGCTTAAAAGTAAACAAACAACAGCTTATCATAAGCATCTTATCGATAATTATTTACACGTTTGGCATTTAGATGAACATATAAACGTTATCTGACTAACTTCTAGCAGCTGAATGCGTCTGGAAAAATATTCAAATGCTTTTATTCTCATAAATCGCGCGGACGTGAATGCGTCTTGACTGTTCTGATTGGCTAAAGCAGATGTCTCACGTCAGCACGTTCTAGACGTACACGCGCTCTTTCCAGCAATCTTCCTTCTGCGTTTACACAGCGCAGCATTCCGGCAAATTACCGGTAATCTTACAACTTCTCTTTCCGGAAAATAGCCAGAACGAATTTACCGGTATTTTTAAAAAGGCCTTGTTCACACATACACACCTTTCCGAAAGGTCTGTATGTGTGAAAGGGGCATATGACACTTACCTTCAGCACATCAGTTGGATTTGCCAAAGAGGAAGACAAAACTCCTGACACCACACCACAAAACACATTAATCACCATCGTCTCTTCTAAAAAATAGTGAGAGTGAGAGAGAGAGAGAGAGAGAGAGAGAGAGAGAAACAATAACAGCCATTAGATTCAGAATGTTCTTCAGCACATTAAAGAATCAGATTCATTCAGCCTGTTAAACACCAAAAAAAACACTGTTGGCCAAGCTGTGACCTCTCGTTGAGTGCTTATGGCAAGGATTCAAGTAATACAAATTCTGTTTGCAGAGAAGAGATGATTCTGTACCATGTCAGATGGAAATGCGCTGGCGCCAGCACCAGATAAGGTAATGCTAGAGATATGTCCATCTGTCTGCCGCTTCAGCACCTTTTGTTTGGACCGCACATTAGTGATGGTGGTTACACCATGTTTTGCAGTATTAGGAAAGCCGAGGATGCAGCATAATGGTTGCAACAGTGGAGCAAAAGGTAAAATTGGATTTCAGTTTTCAAACAATACATATTAGACAGATGCTGATATTCCTGATAACAGATCAGGAAAACAAACTTAAACTTGTACATTATTAATATTGTGGGCATTCAAAATGTAAACTTTTGGAGTGTCTTTGAAAAATGTACAGATTGATTTCATAGTTTCCGCTGCAATCATTCTTCCATGGCGGGGCGCCACACCAAAATTCATCCCGCCATGGCTACATTACAGCTTCTCATTTGAAACATTGTCCATTTTTTTAACAGCGGGTTATTATAAATCACACCAAAACGTATTAAAAGGTAAGTAAATTATAACATTGCGAACTTTTCTGTAATCGTAGTGCTGTGCGTTATTTGTTTAACCCTTTAAGGTGACATGCTGACTGACAGTCTGACAGACTGTGTGAGGCTAGCAAACATGACATAGCTTTCAGTTAAGATGACCACAGTTTCCATAATTATATTTTATTTATAGATAAAGGTCTATGGTTCTGCATACAATGACTCTTATCTTGCTGGAGTTTATAGCCATTTCACTTTACTTCAGGACACAATAATGCCACTCAGTGGGTCTGTTGGAGACATTCATAAATATTGCTAGCAAATCAAACAAATGTTGGAGACATACTCGTTACATAAACGCACAAGATCACACTTCAGCAGCATTGATTTAAGAGCAAACAAGAACATCTCGACTTGAGCAGCAAGAAGGGGGCATGGAAGAAGTTTTGTGCACCAACAGAGGAAATCGACATGCAAGCAAAGAGATTCGCATGCTTGTATTACATAAATGCAATCTCGACTTGTAATACTGCTCTCACAACATTTGTCATTGAGTTAACATCATAGGTAGCTGGTAGGTCTGTGTAAAATTTACTTAAAAATAAGATTTATCTGAGTAAATCCACTTTAACATAACCATAATACAGCTATTTCAATCACCATGTCCTGACCACATGCGTCGCAATAAGACAATAAGATGTTGTTGTTCTGCCACAACTAAGCAGCATACGAAATCTGTTTTGTATGTCACCGATGGTTAGGAAGAAAACTTGTTTTAACTTGAAAGTTTTTTTTTGCATGTCAAAGCATTACATGTAGTTTTACATTACATGTTGTTTATTATAATGCATTTAATAATATACCAATTACAATCTGCAATAAAGTAGGGCTGTGCAATTAATCGAAAATCCGATTTCGATTTTGGCTTTTAACGATTATGAAAAACCATTAATCGAGATAAACGATTATTCCATCACGTACCGCCCCCTTTCCAGTTGTACACGTGTGAAAACTCGCAAAAGAAAAATGCGCAAAAGAGCATGTGCTGTTGTGTGTGTGCGCGCCTTGTTTGGCCTCAGACAGGTAGCGCGTGTGTGTGTTTGCGGGTGCGCGCCGCGCTTAGCCTCGGACAGCAAAGCACACACACATCTAACACAGTCTTAATGTGAGCGCTTTAATGGTCAAATACATGCACATTTGTGTCAGAGCGCGGTGTTTAGTGATTATTCATATTAATTCTCATTTGTGCAATAAACACAAGTTGAGAATCAAAAGACACTTGAAAGAGAAACCATATCAGAGCCGCACTATTCTTAAAGTGACAGCGTGTGATATTCCTGCTGCTGCCGACTGTTTTTATTATTAATCAATAATAAAATTAAAAACTCAGTGAAGATGCTTAAAGCACAGTTTAAACATAATAGATTTAATAACTCATTTCTAATAACTGATTTCTTTTATCTTTGCTATGATGACAGTACATTATATTTTATTAGATGTTTTTCAAGATACTAGTATTCAGCTTAAAGTGACATTCAAAGGCTTAATAAGGGTAAATAGACAAGTCATTGTATATCAGTAGTTTCTTCTGCAGACAATCAAACATATGTATTGCTTAGAGGGGCTAATAATATAGAGCTATTAAAATAAATTTCAAAATATTCAAACTGCTTTTATTCTAGCCGAAACGAAACAAATAAGCCTTTCTCCAGAAAAAAAAAAAATTATAGGAAATACTGTAAAAAAAATCCCTCTGTTAAACATCATTTGGGAAATATTTATAAATAAAAATAAATTCACTGGAGGACGAATATTTTTTACTTCAACTGATAATCGTTTTGAATAATCGTGAATACAATTATGACCAAAATAATTGTGATTATGATTTTTCCAATAATCGAGCAGCCCTACAATAAAGTATTACCTATTGTACACTATCATCTTTTTTTTTATTTAACTTGTTTAAAACATTTACTTACTCTGAACATGACACAATAAACCAATACACCAAGTCATTTTTGGTTATTTTAAAGTAATTTTCCTAGGTCAATACCATAATAATACCGTATATTGAGATAAAAGCATCAGCAATTAATCGCAAGAGAAGTCTAATGCGCATTCCTTTTAAAAAAAAATTGGATAGCCCAGTAGTTAGTGTGCCAATACATAGCCCAGATCTCGATTCCCGGCTCATGTATGGTTTCTGATCTAATCCCCCCTCTCCCACTTCACTTCCTGTCATTCAATTGCCCTGTGAAATAAAAACAATTTGCCAAAAACTAAAAGAAAAAAAAAAAACACTGCGGTCATCAGTGCCGAATCTTGCCGTAGTTGTACATTTCATTATATGAGAAATGAAGAAAGCAGTTTGAGGCTGCATTTGAAGTGTTTAATTCTAGACTATGTTTCACCACAATGACGCAATCACCCTTTGAATGAGCCCTACAAAGGACGAAGCCTTAGAATTGAGATGCAACTTATGTTTGTGCATCCTCAGTGTTCATATGAGGTTAAAAGCTTAAATCTTTCCATCATGTATAAGAGTTCATACATTTATGTTCAGAAGGCTTGAATTAAACTTCATTGTTAATATGGTTAAATTACCCTCTGATCTCTTTAAATTGGCCATATTAATAGAACTCTGCTAAGCCACATTCCAATTCTTGTTGTGAACAACTTGTGCAAGTTAATCTGCAGTAAAATATGGTCTTGGTTACATTTAATAACAAAAAATATTCATCAATAATAAAAAAAATCTTTCTTCCATTAAAAATTAAATTAAGGTAAACTATATATAGGTAAGAATTTCCGGTTGGGCGATGTCGACCAATCTGGCATCAAACAATGTCTAATGTGGACATCACGATGGGTGATGACATCGTTGTCGTAAAGGAGGCAGTGAATTATTTATGAATAATGAATTAATTCATAACGAATTAATTATTTGTAGTATACTGTTTCAACTACCTGACCCGCATGGTCTTTGTTTTACCCATGACCAAATCATAAATAAATAGATAAGATACACACAAATTACCACCTGTCAATCACTTTTTCTGCAAGACTCTAGCATGATTGGGCAGAGATTAGGCAGATTGCTGCTGCTGCTGGATGATGGCATCATCTATCGACCCAAACCTAGTATGTAGGGCTGCTCGATTATGGGAAAAATCATAATCACGATTATTTTGGTCATAATTGTAATCACGACTATCAGTTAAAGTCAAAATTATTCGCCCTTCTGTGAATTTATTTTTTATATACAAATATTTCCCAAATTATGTTTAACAGAGCAATTTTTTTAACAGTATTTCCTATAATATTTTTTTCTTCTGGAGAAAGGCTTATTTGTTTTATTTCAGCTAGAAAAAAAATCAGGTTTAAATATTGTGAAACCTATTTTAATAGCTCAATATTATTAGCCCCCTTAAGCAATTTATTTTTTTGATTGTCTGCAGAAGAAACTACTGTTACATAATGACTTGCCTATTTACTCTAGTTAAGCCTTTAAATGTCACTTTAAGCTGAATACTAGTATATTGAATAATATCTAGTAAAATATTATGTGCTGTCATCATAGCAAATCAGTTATTAGAAATGAGTTATTAAAACTGTTATGTTTAAACTGTGTTTTAAGCATCTTCACTGTAAGAAAAAACTTTAACTACAAAAGTCCTTCAGTCAAGAGCAGTGAGTGGATTCTGTCCTTTTGTTTGATTAATAATAAAAACAGCAGCAGGTATATCGCACGCTGTCACTTTAAGAATAGTGCGGCTCCGAAATGGTTTCTCTTTCATGTGTCTTTTGATTCTCAACTTGTTTATTACACAAATGAGGATTAATATGAATAATCACTAAACAGTGCATGTATTTGACCATTAAAGCGCTCGCATTAAGATGGCGTTAGATGTGTGTGTGCTCTGCTGTCCGAGGCTAAGCGCAGACCGCGCGCAGACAGACACACACACAATACCTGTCCGAGGCTAAGTGCAGCGCGCACGCACACAGCAGCACGTGCTCTTTCGCGCTTTAAAAAATATGAATGATGCGCATCCCATGCTGCAAAAGTTACATTACAGCACATATTTCAGTCACTTTCACGTGGAACTGGAAAGGAGGCGGTATATGATGGAATTATTGTTTATCTCGATTAATGGTTTTTCATAATCAATAGAAGCCGTAATCGAAATCGCAACCGGATTTTCGATTAATTGCACAGCCCTACTAGCATGCACACATTTTACAATTTTTCTTTTTATTAAAATCCACTATCGAATCAAATGTAATTTAAATAGTTTTTTAACTTCTGCTCTTTTTACTTGAAACATTTCGATAAATGTTTAATACATGAAATTATCTTTTTCGTATCTAATTATTGCCCAGTTGAATATTTTTAGATAAAAGGTGAATAAAGAAATATGTTAATATCGGAATTGGGAAGAAAATAACCCATATCGTCTGACCTCTAGTAAAGAATAGCAGCATAAGAAGGCTAATATCAGCAGCATCTCAAGTGACTATAATAATTGTGAAATAAAAAAAAAAACAATTTGAAATTTTATTACTAATATGTTAAAGTCCGCATGAATCAGAAGAGGATGAGACTTATTTCAGTATGCTAATGTACTTCCTGCTGAAATGGAAAATTGAGACCCCTCGTAGCAAAACGTAGGAGAGGTTCTTAATATGCAGTTGCTATGGAAGCCCTTAGATTGACGTCAACAGAAGCAGCACCACTCCAAACGATAAAGCAAATGGTCAGACTTTCACTGAAGATTACCAAAACAGACTATTGTTTTTAAAGTGGATTAACTTGCACTGATTAATCCTACAACTTAACAACTTAATAACAATAACTAGCAAAATAAACATATTTTTTTATTTCACAAATGTTATCTATAGACTAGTGTGTTTCAGAACAACGCCATCAGTATAAATAAAGATATATATAAAGATGTAAAAGCTGCAACTAAAATTAGTCAGTTGATACTGAACACTTCAAATCAACGTGAGACCTTTATATAACATGCCCTTAATAACAACGGAACAATACTTACATTAAATGGTAATAATGAATGACGTTTTCTTGTTAGGTCATTTTATTTGATTATTAAAGTAGATCATTAAAATGGAAAGCTAAATAATTATAGCAAAAAACAACTTTTATGGGAAATAACAGAAATCTTAGAATAAATAAAATTTCACAGGGCCGTAAAATGCATTTATTATTAATCTTTTAATTCGATTTTGTTATATCGTTCAAGTTTCATAATTTCAATGAATTTGAATTTTGAAACGTAATTATCCATTAAAATAGAGTCCAAATCACTCAGAAAAAGCAGAGGGGGCTATATTTTAATAGGCCCTATACAGTAGAGAAATGTGTTAAAAAATAAAAGATCTTAGGCCCCGTTTACTCTAATGCGTTTTAGTTTGAAAGCGCATAAGTTTTGCTACGGTTACGCCATCCGTCCACACTACGCCGGAGTTCTCGAGCGCCAAAAACGGAGCGTTTTGAAAACGCTGGAGAGGCCGTTTTCATTCTGAAACGCTGCTGCTCCGTCTCAGTGTGGATGATGGAAAACGGAGACATCTGAAAACGAAGGCGGGGCTGCAGACATTCGCCTCTCTGATTGGGGCTTTTCCTCAATATTAAGTAGTCCTGTATCTTCTCCGTGTAAGTTCAGTATCAAGGCTGCAGTCTCTTCTTTTCAGTTTGATATGGAAAACAGACTATACCGAGGACACGGGTAAATCTTCAAAGGGAACAGTCAATGTACTTTATAACTTCATTCACATCACCCTGGCTACGTTGTTTCACTTTCTCAACAATAAAATGTACACGTGACATAACTGCCTATTTTCATTTTAATATTAACAACTAAACAGACAGCAGAAATGTTGAGGTGTCGTGCTGCATATATGAGCGTCATCTTCACTGTGTGGATATTTATAACAAAACGGAGCCGATAAACAACTGCCTCCTTTCAATTTCAGTGAAAATACGAAACATACCCTCTCTTTTGCTGAATATCAGTTTTAATAATTGATAATGGCCATTATAAAAGTATAACATACAATAAGTTTATACATTATAGGAAATAAAGGCAAGCGATCAGTCAATATACAGAATGTACGTGGTTACATTAATCATTAACTTATCTTTGCACTCAGCCAAAACACGTTACCTGAGAACAAGTAATAGATTCCAATGACCAAAGTCAGGGAACATGTTGTTAAAGACAACAAGATGAATGAAATATCCCGTTTAATAAATATAGTGAGATTAGATCCAGCGGGAGATGCTTGATGACAAGTCCGACTAGCAGAGCTCTCATCTGGGTAGAAATGCTGCAGCGCTTGCCAAAGAGTGTGTGTGTGGTCACGTGATGTGCGTTTTCAGCGTTTTGGTGTGGACGGAGAGCTGTTCAGAAACGCTGGGTAAAACGCGAGTGTGGACGTGGATCGTTTTCATTCTAAAACGCTGTTTTAAAACTAAAACGCAATAGTGTAAACGGGGCCTTAAAGGGCCATGAAACCCCCTCGTTTCAGCAGGGTGTTTTCACACCTCTACTTTGGAAAAAGCCAGAAAAGTGGGCGTGTCCAGCTCTGTTTAGGGGGGAGTGTCGGAGGAGCAAAAGAGGGAGGTTGTGGGAGTGTCGATTTGACCACGCGCTGAGTTTCAGAGTCAAAACACACACACACACACACACACACACAGGGGAGAAAGTGACTGTGTTTACATGGACATCTGTAATCGAATTATCTGCCAAATTATTAAATTGTGAACTTTAACTGCAGTTTGGCACTTTCATTAGGGAATTTATTCATCCCCCTCGTGACAAACGAGATATTTGATTCGAGGAGCTGCTCTAAGCGTGTTTTTAGTTTTCTGTAAGCTTACCTTCTGGATGGCTGACAAACAGTTTCTTTAGTGTGTTGTATGTACCGATCTTGATCGTGCCATAAGAAGCTTGTCGGAGAAGGGCAGGTGAAATTCTACAAAGAGGAAAGACACCACTTTAGGACAATGCATATCTTCCATACATAGATAATTGGCTAAAAAGTTGGGTTTAAAAGACCGGCCTAAATACATCACACGATGAACTAATGACTAACCATCATTATATGGAGATTAACAATGAAAAAGTTCCAGAGAAACGTATTTGGCCAGTATTGTTTTGAGTTTTCAAAAAAATAAAAAATAAACAAAAAGGATATGAGATATCATGCTTTTTGTCTAAAGTTCACAAGATGTAAAAGGAAAGTCAATAACAATATCATGCAAAACATGTATGCAAAGTTTTCTGCAAATGAGTTCAAACAGAAATAGAGTGCTTTTTACTTTTCTTTTAAAACTTTAAATAGATTTCCTGCTAAATTGTTCTTTATTTTTTTAGAGCAGCATGGGTGCCAAACCCTGCACAGTTTAGCTTTCCCTTTGATTAAACACACCTGACCAAACTAATGGAGTCCTTCAGGCAAATCCTATTGAAGGCAAGCCTGAAATGATTAGCCTAAAAATGCAAAAGCAAATGCTAAAACTATGTAATGTTAGCGTAACAGATTTTTAAATTATCAATAATAATAATTATCACATAATTATCAATAATAAAAAATTATCACGTTATACATATATTTTTATCTATCCCATAGTAACAAGCTTCAGGCTTTTTTTGAAACCTACAAGCAAGAGGCAAGTGTTTTAAAGCAAGGTTGGAACTAAACTCTGCAGGGTTGTGGCCCACCAGGAAAGAAGTTTGACACGTCTGCTTAAGATAAACATAAGAAAAAAAAATGTACCAGACTTCTGAGAATGAAATATTAGACGATCAGATAAAGTGAATGTCAGAACGCATGTGTGCGTCTCTTTACATTCAAGTGGTGATAAAACATAAACATTATGCAGATTTTATTTTAAATGTATTTCATGTACTTAAGACTTCTCCAAGGTTAATTACAATAAAGATGTTAACACTATTTAAAATTAAATTACATCATATTGACTGACATGCTAATTTAGACACACCCACAACCAAACATTTAATACAACACAACTTGTCCTTTTTAAGCAGCAGCATATTGTTCTGAAAAAACAGTCCTGACCTGCATTTAAAAACATTTAAAACAGTTAGCAAATATTAATATCAATGAAGAATCATTCAGCTTCTGGACTGTGCTCATTTTCCTGAATTGTAAACAATCTATCACGAGTGACCCATGTGGTCTCATGAGAGGTTGTAAAATAAAGGTCATGAACACAGATCACCTGAACTGAAACAAACTAAGCATTAACTGTTACTTACAAACTACTACAGATAATTTCTCTAGAAAAGACCCTAGACTCTCTGGATTACTTTGAAGCTGCCTAAATCTAGATTTTTAGATCATTAAAAATAGGAATATATGAAAGTTGACTAAAATGAAAATTTTGGGGTGAAACACAAGTTAAAAAAAAAAAAGGTTATTCTGCATTGCACTGGCCAGCAGTGTTCAGTGTGCTGGTTTTACTCTTCCTCAAGCCATCATTACTGCATGTTGTAAAGAGGCTTCCACACTGGGCTCGGAAAGCGCTGCACTATGACACTTGTTTATTTCAATGGCTTGTGCTGTGCAAGAGAAATCGTTGCTGCATCAAACAAAGCACAAGGGAGGAGTGCATCATTAACTAACTTGCACATGGACTAGTGTTGTTACAATACCAAAATGTTAACTTCGATATGATACCTAAATTAAATATACGGATACTAATACTAAAACGATACTAGCATTTTTAAAAAAATATTATCTGTTAATGAACACTCCATGTTTGCTGTCAGCTGAAAAAAAGTAGAACCATTTTAAAACTAAATTGACTGATAGTCAGCATTATTATTTATGTTATAATTATTTTTTTATAGAGCTGGGCGATATGGCAAAAAAATTTATCAAGATATTTTTTTGTATCATTTAGTATAGATAAATATTATGATAAATGACAAACATTTATTTATCAATTTTATAGGATTTTCAGCATGCCAATCGCTTTGTGCAGCTGATTTAACACATTTTGTGAAATGTTTTAGCTGTCTGACAATAAAAATGATAAAATAATAAACAAAAGAACAATCTTAATTCAGCATTTACTGTTCAAGTTTTCAACAACCAAAGACATTACCTACAAGTTATGGGATGTTGTTATTCAACATCAGAAAAAAAAGTTTGGAACAAGTAAAATGCGAGTTAATGGTGACAGAATGTTCAGTTTTGGATGAACTCCCCTTTTAATGAGTATCCTTTATTTTATTTAGGGATGCTAACAATTACTTGATGATTAATTGTCAATAACCCTTTAATTGATAGACCTTATCGATTACTGATTAAGCATGGACATTTAAAGGTTTAGTTATGCTTTGCGCTATGAGATGCTCTACTTATAGATATATTAATGTATGGGTGGATGACATGACATGCATTTTTAACTGTCCGTGATGTCCTACAAAAAATTTAAAATAGCAAAAAAATAAATAAATAAATATATTTAAAAAAAAAAAAAAAAAAGTGTACTTCTTAAAAAGACATCTTTATGTCACTCAAAAGTACTGGTAAAAAAACAAATGCAGAATCATATCATTTTGAGAGCCAGGGTATCACGTTTTTAGTATCAGTAAATCATACAACACTAACGCAGACTGACCTCAAAGATCAAAATAGCATGTACCTGCATACGCAACTATGCATGAGCCACATTAGGTCACCAGAAATGCAAAGTTTGCAAAAATAATGCACCAACAGGACATTTCTATGCAGTACACTTGTTCCTGCTGCTTGCAAAAGTCCTATTGTGTGATTAGAAGGATGTCCTTGTCGTCATTTAAATAGTTTAATCTGTTCACTTAAGTCTGCTGACAAACTGGAAAACCGAAACAGTAAAAGAACTGACACGTCTGATTCAAATAGATTTCAGATTGTTGTATAAACACGGGAATAGAAAGATTGCAAAGAAACTTGTTGAAAGATGTCATTGTGCCTTAAGTAAACATGATCATAATGCTGTTTTATATGAATAATGCTGTCAAAAGACTGGTGCTACTGTGACAAGCCTTAAAAGTACCCAACCTTAAAAAACAATTCATGGCAGAAAGATGATCAAGAAAAGAATTGAAAATACTTGTCAGCATATAGTTATTTTTAAAACTTTAAAAAACGTTGACCCAGTAAGGCCCAGTAATGATACACGTTAATTTCTTTCATTGAGCATAAGGTGCTCTTATTTGTTTTACTTTAATCCTAATCTAAATACAGTACATAAAAAAATATTCCCTAAATAAAATGCATGAAATAAATTAGGTCCATTTAAATCTATTAAAACAAATTCTTCTAATTTACTGCAAAAGATGCAAAAATAAATTAACAGTAACATTATAACATTATAAAAGTAACATTATTATTCATAAACTACCATAAAATGGTCAAAACATAGTGGGAAATTACAGCAACATATGAACCATAAACCTCTGGCCAGGAAAAGAAACAGCACATTAATCTGGGAGATGATGTTTTGAAAAACAAGATGCTCTGGGACATAGAAAACAAGACCAGTGCGAATGACTACAGTCTGCTCATGCCAAAGCAGTGGGCCAGTTTCACTTGACTCAGCTCCTCTACAGACCTCGTGAACTGAATATCATCTATATTTAGAGTTTATTACAGCTATCAGCTGTATTTAAAATGTTAAACCATGGTAGGGGATGCAAATATGCCTTTAAAAGGGAAAGAAAACATCAGAAAGTACACATACACTCTTTTTCACAGTTCGATTAAACTATAGGAAGAAAAACACCTGTTTTTAACCTGTTCACTCTGCTGAAAGTGATTTTAGTTATAGAAACCCCTTTTAAGGGTATTAAATCAGAGGAGGGTCTAACTCTGGCACAGTATATTAAAGTGTTACAAGCAAATGTTAATGTCGCTGTGAGATTGTATTTTCTTTTTTTAATAACATAATAGATACATTTCTATCATAACCTTAATATCTACACTGAATCTATATTATCACGAAACACAAAACAACAAAAACAGTTGAGCTAAGATAGCCTGCATAAGTCACTTCGGAATACCTAGAAACAAAGCAAACATCCAGGAAAATTGCCTGAGGGGAAATTGTAGTTCTCATGAAGGCTATTACCTAAAAATGAGTTCCCTGTGCGAAAGTCCCGAGTGGCATACTGAACACCACTGACAGTGAAATAAACACCATCCACTGTGCAAGCCAAGCATTTGTTGCCATTCAGAATAATCAAATAAGCAGCACTCACCCGGAGTACAATGCCCGGACGCCTTCCTCTCGTCCAATCCTTAACAAAGCATGGAACATCCCACGGTATCGAACCTCCATACAGTGCGTCTGCCCTTGAACCTGAAGCCGCGTTTTTGTGAGATCAATGGGGAACGTACCTGAAAGATTTAATTATAGGATAAACTTCAGTGTGTACATTGCCTCATCTTATGTTCCACCCTATTTTAAACACTAGCTTTATAAATAGCTCAATCACTGGTTTGGGGAATGTTGTTTTTCATGTTCGGCCGATGAACATTATTCATGCACTAACGAATGGTTTTACAGTTCTTCCAACTAAAGAGATACTAAAATTAATACTCGTATGAACCTATCTGACAGTATATTTCAGCAAAGCAACTAATAGTTGTAATAGACAGAAGTAATAATGGTGTAATTAAGTAATAATTACATTGAATATATTTGTTATTGTTGATCATTTATAATTTTCCATAAAATTGTGCCAAACAGTATAAATAAACCTTGTTGTTATTATTATTATTACCTTGTTATCAGTTATTATTGCACATGTAAACAAGCAGTTAATAGTGAAAACAAAATAAAAACATTAAATATAACATATATATTTATCTCAAATACTAATTTGCACTGACACTTTTGTTTTATATATTAACAAATATTACGAAAATATGCCGTGCAAACCTAAAGAAGTGATTAACAATAGATTATAAGGAGGATGATGTAAAAACAGCAGGTGCACAGACTCACCAAATTCTGCGACAATTGAGGCCATTCCCCCATAGACAAACGGCTTCCAGTTCAGGTTTGCCATTTCTGTCGCGGCCCCTTCGGCTTGATGGAGTCCCACTAAAAACAGCAGAAAGCCAAAATAAGAGCAAACCAGCTCTTTTAACCTCACATTGTACAACATAGCGCTACCCGTCTGTGTCACAACCCGTCTCCCCAGATGCAAAGACATATGTGCACCGGAATAAGACGAGCCGCATTAAAGATTCATTGCAAGCGCCATAGGAAAATTACGGAAATCCTATTGGCTGCGGCGTCTGTCAATATTTTTCTCGGTGATCCTGATTGGTCGAAATGACGTGTTGTTTCACCTACTTCCGAAGCCAATGAGGTTGAGTGACAGCAAGCAAGCGCTCGCCTATTTTCTCGAAACCGTGCAACGCTGAACTTTTTAAGGTCATAGCTTTATATTAAAAACAGCCACGCATTGCAAACTAATGCATTAGTGTAACTAAGATGGTCTATATTTACGGTAAGCGAAGTGTGAAGGTCGCTCTGCTTGGTTTCATAACGGACATCTAACGGCTTGTAAGTGTTAGCCAGGTGGAGCAGAACTACTCGCACCATTATAAAGTACTAAACTGAGTTTGGCGATATTTTAGTCAAAATCACCTGTTGAGATCACATACCTGAGACCCGGTGGTTCGGTCGACTCTGTTATTTTATTTTGGACTCCATCGTCTCGACCACATGTAGGATTGTTGTACTTTTCGCAGTCAAACTCCGACAGGAGCGCACAAACGGCTTTCAGTTTCCCATCATGTGCCTTTCTAGCAGGAACTCAATTCACTGCGACCGGAAGTTCCCGCCCGGAAGTTTGAAAAAACTAGACACCCCTTTTTTCAATGTCACCCTGTCCATAAAAGAGGGAGGAATCAGTGAGGTTTGTTTGATTTAAGCGATTTAATTTTGAAGAAAACAGCTAAGATGTGAATTGTGCGTGGAGCTTCGTATAATAACAGTTGTCAGCTATTTTTGTTATGTGTATTAATGTATGTAGTTAAAGGAACAGTTCTAATTTAATATTAAATTTAATTTTAATTTAATATTAATTTACTCACATTCAAGGGTCCTTAAATGTTCTAAATTTTCAAAACAAAATTTAAGGCCTTAAAAAAGTCTTAAATTCACAGAAATATTGTTTTGTAGGTCTTAAATCATTTTAAACAGGTCTTAATTTTGCTTTGCACAAGTGAAGCTATACTCAGTCGGGCCGACATTCATCCAATGACCAACAATACATCCCAACGAAACCCTATTTTTTATTAATGAAACCTTATTTTAAAATTCTTTGTTGCAAATACATACAGTTCACAATGGCTGTTAGACATTTTTACTGCAAAATCCCCTAATGAAATTCCCTAATAAGGGAAAAAAGAAACTAAAAACAATTACCGAATTCCTCATGATAACACTGGGCCATTAGGGAAAAAAAACCCTAGACTTTAACTATTAACTCTGTATAAGTCTAAAATTTCATTCTTTATGGTCTTAAAGGGGTCTTAAAAAGTCTTATATTTGACTTAATGAAACCTGCAGATAGGCGGCTTAGATGTAGGTGGCTTTTTATTCATTCATTTTCCTTATTTATCAGGGGTCGCTGCAGTGAAATGAACCACCAACTATTCTGACAAATGTTTTATGCTGCGAATACCCTTCCACCTACAACCCAGTACTGGGAAACACCCATGCACATTCTTTCACACACGCTCATACACCATGGGCAATTTTGTTTACCCAATTCACTTAAAGCTTTGGACTTGTGGGGGAAAACGAAGCATCCGGAGTAAACCCACTCCAACATGGGCAGAACATCAGACACAAATATCCAACAGACCCAGCCAAGACTTAAACCTTCTTGCTGTGAGGTGACAGTGCCAACCACCATGCCATCACTTTTATTTAGTAGAACGTTTTTAAAAGTGTATGTTGTTCTTGGTAATTCATAAGAAAGTAAACAACTAAATAATGTGCTTTAAGAGTCGAAAAATCTTACACAGGCAAAACAAATGAATACCCAAGACTCCTGGCAATATACTGTATGTACACTGAGGTCTTATGAAGAAAAGCCACTGTTCTGTGCAAGAAAATGAACATTATTTATAACATCATTACTTTTGATCAGCAGACTTGACTTTTGGTTTACAACCTTTTATTTATATAGTATCCAAGGGTCTATTTATTGATTCTTATGTAATCAATTAGTTGGATATTAATGTTGACTTTTTGACATTATACACAATTTTTTGGTTCTTTGAAGCTCTGTCATAGCAAGTGCAGTGCTAAAAATCGCCTTGTGAGCTCACATACCTGAGACGATTCTTCGGTCGACTCTGTTATTTTATGAACAGGAACGGGCCATTGCTAAGAATCGCAGCGATATTCAAACCATATGCACTGTAAAAAAATAACTGTTAATCAACATGTTTCGTATTTTGTTGTTCACTTGGTGTTTTCTGTTTATTAATGGTTGTGAATTGCATTATGGGAGTTTTATCTCTGCTCTGTCAATTTTTAATGTAGAAAATTCAACACTGCAGATTAACAAAGTGACTTTTATGGGCATTTTTAGTAGTTTGAGACAAGATATTGTTTAAGAAATAATATAGAGAGAATTAAAATAACAGAAAACGTGCTGGCAGTTTGTTACCAGGTTTTGTACCTTAATTTACAACACATTCATTCATTCATTCATTTTCTTTTCGACTTACCCCCTTTATTAATTAGGGGTCCAACCGCCAACTTATCCAGCACATGTTTTATGCTGCGGATGCCCTTCCAGCTGCAACCCATCACTGGGAAACACCCATACACTCTCATTCACACACATAAACTATGGACAATTTAGTTTACTCAATTCACCTATAGCGCTTGTCTTTGGACTGTAGAGGAAACCGGGGCACCCGGAGGAAACCCACACCAACACAGGGAGAACATGCAAATTTCACACAGAAATGCCAACTGACCTACCCGAGGCTTGAACCAGCAACCTTGCTGTAAGGCTACAGCACTACCCACTGTGCCATTGCACCTTCCCAAACACAGAAAATATCATAAAGTCACTTTTCATCATCAAAAGCTTTTGGAGGAAACATCAAGATCCCATAATGCAATTCAAACCAACAAATACTTTTTTTTTTTTTTTTTTCAGAGCGTAGTACCGTGAGAGCGTGGTTTATCTTTAAACCTAGCAGCCTACACAAATATCAGATGCCATCACTTGATAGCCAGACACTCGTCAGCAAAAGCCAGCGGGTCTGACCTGTCCTGAAAGACTCTTTCATGCTGGAATGCTTATCTGAGTATTAATACTTCCTCATCTACATCACCTAACAAAAGGCACGCCATCATGAAAAGAAAATGCCTGAATTTGACTTTAGCCTATATAATGTTACCATATTCTCACAAACATAACCTTTGCAACTTAATCTGCGATTTCTTATAGTTCTAACAACTGCAATAATATACAGTGGGTACGGAAAGTATTCAGACCCTCTTTAATTTTTCAGTTATATTGCAGCTATTTTCTAAAATCATACGTTTTTTTTTCTCCTTAATGTACACACAGCGCCTTTTATTGACAAACACACAATTGTTGACATTTTTGCGATTTTTAAAAAAGTAAAACTGAAAGATTACATGTACTAAGTATTCAGACCCTTTGCTCAGTATTTAGTAGAAGCAGCCTTTTAATCTAATACAGCCTTGAGTCTTTTTGGGATAGGTGCAAGTTTTTCACACTTGGATTTGGGGATCCTCTGCCATTCTCAATGAGGAAAAAAAAATTAATTCATGTTAGCAAATGGCTGCAATATAACAGAGTAAAAAATGTTACGGGGTCTGAATACTTTCCGTACCCATTGTATGTATTCATCAAACCTATTGGCAATAGACAAAAATAAATTGTATTGATCAAAATTATTGATTTTTCTATTATGCCAAAAATAATTAGGATATTAAGATCATGTTCAATGAAGATACACTCCTGAGCAAAATCTTAAGACTGGGAGAAACATTTCAAGTGTTCACATTTTGTACTGTTGGAGGTTGTAAGTACTTCTTTAAAATACCAAATAAAAACACAAGTGCAAAAAACAGAGAATAGGCAATTAAATGAAACTTGCAATTCAACTCAGCCTCTAATCAGCTGAATAAAAAATTAGGACTACACTGTAAAAAACATAAAAAACAGTAATTTTTTTTGTAGCAGGGGTGCCAGAAAATTACCGTAAACCTACCCCAAACCCCAGGTTATTATTGTAATTATACAGATAATTAATGTGATTAAAAAGGTTATTACTGTAATTATACAGATTAATTAATGTGATTATAAGGATATTTGCTGTAATTATGCATGGTATTAATGCAATATAGGGATTAATTTATGTTATTATGGATGAAATCTCTAAATATTTCATAAAAATTTCCACTTTTAACATACCTTTAAAACTGGAAGAAAAACACTGTCATAAAACACTGTAAATATAACTATAAATTATAATATAGTTGAACAAATATTTTAAGGATATGTAGGTTAAACTTAAAAACTATTTTCTTGAGAAAATACAAAACTGTTATCTGTTTAATTTTTTACAAAAAACAAATTTGGTCATCGTTTAGCAACAAAAACAAGGTTAGTGTCATGTGAGGACGCCTGCACAACAAAGTTGAGGATCAAATAGCAGTTTATTAACAGAATCATCTTGCAATTAAAGGTTGAAACAGGAACAAACAGGTGCACAGATAATCCCAAGCATAAAGATGGCAAACAAATTAACAAAGTAAAGGGGTCAAATGTGGCAAGACAAAGGGAAACACGTCATAATGCTCACTAGTTTAAGACTCAGAAACGATGTGCCTGTGTGTGTGTTTATAGTCCTTGAAATCAGTCCATAACGATCTTCTGACTGTCTGTGTAATCAGTTAGAATTAGGAACCCATGTGTGCGAGGTGCATGCTGGGAGTTATAGTTCATTAAAGTAACGTGTGTTTTTTTGTTTTTCAACAGCCGCTAGATCACTGGTGATCGTCACAGTTCATATAGCAACATTGTTAGAGTAGTAAAATAAACATTTAATAGTTTACAGTGCATGCATTATATGCAGCCTACAAACATTAGGCTATTGTTTTACTTTATCAACCTCATGTTAATTTCTTCATATGTTTATCTTCACAAAAAACTATTTGACTGATTTTTTTTCCTTGTTTTTACAGGAATAATCTGTAAATATTACTCTCTAAAAATACATCAAATTTCCTTTAAAAAGTAGAAAAATATTATAATACCAAAATACAAGTGTCACAATCACCAGCGATCTCTAACCACCAGAGGTCACTGGAAAACATTCTCTCTGGCAGAACTACAAATCTTCGCCCCCACACACACCTGCTTCCTCATTTAGACTGATTACACTCACACCACCTGAGGATTGTCAAAGACTGATTACACACTCCATTTAAGCAGCACACACACTCATTCACGTTGCCGAGTCTTGTTATCTTTATAGTAACACTACAACGCGGTTTCCTTGTCTTGTTTCTTGTGTTTTGACCCTTGCCTTGTTAGCCTTTTCATCTTAGTCTGCTGCCTGCCTTTTGACCTCTCACCTGTTTACTGATTACGATTCTGGACTGTCTCCATATAGCTGTTTGCAACTGTATTGATCATTGCTTGCCTGACCACTGATTAAACCTGCATTTGGATCCTACCTCAGTTGTTTGTGTCACTCCCCGGGTTTACAAGCAATAACTAAATTTAATGTGAGAATTTTTTATTACAGAACATATCTG